TTCCCATTGCCACGGTCATTCTCAATATGGGCTTTTGTCTGCGGAGACTCTGTTTACTGATGGTATCAACAGCTTCTAATCTTAGGGGGACACATAAGGAGTTGGTTCATGTGGCCACTGTGTTATAACAGAGTGGGACATCTGGAGAATGGGGCACAGCTCAGTGGCTGAAGGCATGCTTAGTCCTCAGGAATATGAATCTGGACAAGAGGCAAAGTCTAGGGTAGAAGGAGAAGGGTAGGACCCCAAACACACCACCGAGACACATCAGTGAGACCCAGTGTGTAAAGCACAGTGCAGTGACCTGGTTTCCTCCACAGATGATAGCACCAAGATGAAGAGAGGAGGGAAAAACATGTATTAAAAGATATGGAAGGCCATTTTGTGGACGGATGGATGATGTGGAGATGGGTTGTGGATGGATGGATGGATGGATGGATGGATGGATGGATGGATGGATGAGGTGGGTGGATGAGGTGGGTGGATGGGTGGGTGGATGGGTGGGTGGATGGGTTGAGTAGGAGGTAGATCAGGGTGAGTGGATGGATGAATGAATGAATGGTAGGGTGGGTAGATGGACAGATGGATAGGTGAATAGACAGATGGATAGATGGATTGATGGACTGACAGATACATGATCAAACTGTAGCAAATCTATCCAGGTAAAGCACATTCAGCCTTTAAAAGGAAGGAAATTGTGGCACTCTATTGTACACACATACCTTCATGATACTGTACTAAATCTAGCAAAGCTAGACACAAGGGGATGAATCCCATAGAGTCCACCAATATGAGAGGCCTAGTCAATGCCACTTTCTTTAATACAGAATGTAGACTGCCTGGAAGGCCAGGAGTAGAAGCTGGCAGGAGACTAAGGAGACCCAGCTCCAGTCCCCCTGACCTCCCAGATCCACAGGAAGACAAACGAGGCCACAGGGAGAGAAACCACACTCAACACAGCCATTCTGTGGCCATACAAGCAAAGCCAGGCCTCCCCATGGACTTGTCTCATGGCTGGGGGACGGGCATGCTTACCTCCCTGGCTTTGGCTAGGCTCCCTAGCCAAATTGTTTCCTAATTCCATGGCAGGGCTCGTCTTCATGCTGGCCTCTCTAGAGGCCTAGACGGAGGGGTGGCTGCCTCCAGCTCCTGCAGGCCAAGCTCCTACCTGGCCTTAACAACCTTGACTCAAGTCCTACCCTGACTTCTGATAACATATAGTAGACAGAGGGTGTGGCAGAGTCCCCTTGTGCCTTTCAAAGCTCTACAGCCTGGGAAAAGGCCAGAGTCTGCCAGCATCCATCGCAACAGTGTTCAGAAGTCAGCGCACAAACAGCCCTAATTGGAGACTTCAGGGATGCTTATGACACTTTCTGGATTACAAGTATTTTGCATTTAGTACACAGTCACCAGGCTGAGCAGCAGGGACCACTCCAGAATGACCCATCGGGATGGTCTCTCACCAAGGCCCAGGACACAAGCACAAGCTGGAAGGAGCTGAGGTGACAGATAATGCCTCCTGCCTTAGCCTTGCAGGGCCATTTAGGAGACCAGACTTGGCATCACCCCAACAGGATGAGTTGAACCATTGCCTGTACCTCAGGTAAACATCCTTTCTCTATCACATTCCTGATGTTCCAACTCATGATGTTAATGATGCATTTCCAAGACAAAGGGACAGGAGGAACAGAAGAGAGGCCTCGAAGCTAACATCCTCGCCCAGTTCTGCAGGGTACCTCATCATCAAAAAAACAATGGCTAGCAAGCCAAATGGGATCTCACATAAACAAGTAACTTTATTTATTTGGGGGATGCGGTCTAGCTAGCCTGAGCTGACCTGGAACTTGACATGTAGACCAGGCTTGACTTGAACTCATAAAGATCTGCCTGCCTCTGCTTCCCCAGTGCTGGGATTAAGGGTATGCACCACTACACTGAATTTAACAGGTAAATTTAAGCAAAACAACTATAAAACGCTCACACAACAGTGCTCTCCCATCTGGAGGGAGGCTCTAATGGAGTGCCCAGGGGTCCCCAAGCCAAGAGGAAGGACACTTTTCATATGTCTTTCCTAGCACTACAACAGAAGACAGTGGTCACCTGGCTACTATGACAGTCAGATGACTGAATGAGACACAGGACCATTGGCAGCCTCTCTAGGATATAACCCGGGCATGGTTCTGTCTCCCAAGCTCCAAGCCAAGCCAAGTGGCCACAGCTCTGTGAGTTTTGCTTGCATTTCAGTGGCTCCTATTTCTCCTGGAAATGAAGCCTACCAGCTCCTCGATCCACGCTGTGCTTGGTGTCATAAGAAACTGCTGTTGGGGAAGGCAAGGACAGGGCGAATGGGAATTCTCTGTTCATTCTGTCTCTAACTGAAAACCAGAGTGCACTAAGACTGAGCCCACAGGTTCCACCTATGTGCTGAGGTGCCTCCCTTTTTATGTTTGTCCTTGTTCTCCCTCCCAGGAGGTAACAGGGTAGGACAGGGAGCTCTGACCTCCCCTTCATGAGGGGAAAAGACACATGATAGGAGAGCCCAGAACAAGGCCTGGGAGGGGAGGTTCAAGAGCCCCAGGGCAGCCTGCCATGCTTCCTCCCGAAGGGTGACTGTGCAGCTGCCTAAGACACAGAGGCCTAGACCTTTCTAGGTTTGTGCACAGAAAACCCTTCTGCCGCCGCCTTTGTATCTACTAAAGCAGATACTCTTCAAGGTGCATCTGTGTGTTTCCAGCTTCGCCTACAACCACAAGCCTTTAAGCCGAAGACAAAGGCACGCCCCACTCACTGAGGGCTGAGAGCAAAACCCATTTCTTAAAGTGCTCTCCGAAGGCTCTGCTTCAAATATTTATGGAGGCCGAGAAGTGAACCCAGAGAGCGAGTGGTCCTGTCAGCTTCACACTTGCTGCCGTGATGTATTGGCTGGGGAATCGCTGCAGAAGCTCTGCCTGAGCACGTGGTGCAAAGCCAGCCTCCTCCAGGAGTTGCAGAGTGGCAAGAGACTGCTGGCTAGGATGGGAGGGTGGCAGATTTTGCCTCTGACCCTCAGACATGGTGGGGAAATCTCTGGATCCCCACTACTGGGCTCTTCCCAGAATCTAGGCTGAGCCCAAAGACAGGGACAGCTGGAGAGGAGAAAATAAAAGTAGGTCTCTGTGTCCCCTGATTATGGGACTGCAGATCATACCTGTTATTCAGAGAAGATATGACAATGACAATTACTTCTTACCAGGCACTTACTGTGCTGGCATCAAACGTCTTACCACGTGCTCAGTTCGTCTTATGACAGTTCTAAGAGGCCATCGTCACCAAGTCACAGTCAAGGAAACTGAGATGGGCACCAGTTGGGTTGTCACACCTTGCCATTGACATGCAGACAATGGGCCGGTGGCAGAACGGAAGCAAAGGCTTCTGTTCTTAATGTCAGGAGAACACGCCCTTCACACTGAAAGGCCCCGTGTCTCCTGCCTCATGCCAGTGTCCCCAAGGCCCTCCAAATGTGTACCACATCCCCTGCACTGGATCCTCTCCATAGGCCTGAGGGCTCTGCACAATGGGACAGGCCAAGCAGTTTTGATGATCCCAGCCACCTTAAGTAAGTAACTATATGTGGCTATGAAGCTGCTAATTCCACACCACTCGAGGCCATGCTATTTCATCTTCTATCCTCTCTACAAGCCCTCCATCAGCCACTCCTGAGCATAAGACAAGCCATATCAGCATCTCACCTCTGAAAGCATGTTCCCTTCCAGAACTCACAGGAAGATCCAGCTACAGGAGTTCAGCAGCAGGAAGCTCTTTTGCCTCTCCAGCATCCCCCGCCCACAGATGTGGCCATCTCTCTTCCTTCCAGCCTGACCAGCAGACTAGAGCCATCCCTCCATGCCCTAGGGATGGGACAGGGAGCAGCCACAGAGACACTCTGTCAGTGCTGTCAGTCTGAGTCTCCTGGGTGAGCCTGAGCCATGTGCCTCTTGGACCTCCTGCCTTTCCTCACTGGCAGAGCAGGAATGATGGCGGTATGCTTCCCTGTGAGGATGGCTACTCCATGTAGGTCTCCTCCTCCCCTCACAGCCTCTACTCTGCTTCCTCCCTGTGCTCCGGCCGGGCTCACTCCTGGGAACACCTACCCAGCTTGCAATTGCTCACCCTGCTCCACAGACCCATAACAAAGGCTACTGTTGCCTGTGATGCCTCCAAGTTGGGGAGGTCACTTGTGACAGGTCAGAGCAAGGTGAGTCAGCGGTGGTTTTCCCCCGGAGATGGTAAAAAGTGCGACGACATTCTTATTTCTAGCCACGGACCCTGCACAGGTAACTGGCTGTGAAGCTGCAAGGCCAAAAGCTGATGAAGGCCACCAAGTAAAGCCAAGACTTGTGAATGCCTCTCCTGGGCTGGACACTAACAAATACTTTATAGATACGGGGTCATCAAATCGTCCTGCAACCCTGGCGTGCAAGTATATTGTCTTCATGCTTAAGATAAAAATGTAATGTAAACCCTGAGGCATTGCAAGAATAAAAGATGGGAAGAAATAAATGTTATGCTGAGATGCAGTGAGAGGCTGCTATTTTCTCTGCTCTTTTGTTGTTTTGGGAGACCTATAGGTCTTTTCTTTTCACGATAGCATCAGGCAATGCCACTCCCATTTTATACAGAAGGAGACTAACACACAAATGATGAGAGGCCTTGCCCAGCATCACACTGATTTAACAAGGATAGGGCTGAGCTTTGAACTCAGATGAGCCAGGCCCCAATTTAAAGAGTTAAATGGTTGTCTGGGGCCAATGGAAAACCAATTCAGAGACTTCATAGTAGAAACAACTAGAAAACCTAGACAAAAGTTTAATAAATAAATAAATAAATAAATAAATAAATAAAAATGTCATCTAGGATCTGCAATGGATCAAGGCGCGAAGCTTTGTGAAACTAAAACTGAGAGCAGGAGTATGTGCCCAGGAAGTCCAGTGGGGGTCAGTGGGCTTCCCCACAGTGGTAGTCTATGGGAGCTGTAAGGGCATGGTGCTGGACAGGGCTCTCATAGCCTGTGGGACACCGGAACCACGGGAGAGGACTTGGAGGACCCTGTAGGTCTTTGTGATCAGAAGTATGAGCCACATGGCAGGCAGAGCTGCCCTGGCAGTGCCATCTTTGAATCATCCCTGGGTGAGGATGGCACAGACCAGGCCAGCCCATCAGAGCAAGGGAAGAAGGGACAGGGATCAGCAAAGGGCCATGTCATGTCTCCATGCATGAGGGCCAGCACTCAAGGCAAATAACAAGACACAGTACAAGGCTTCACCAAAAAACAAAGACTGAAAAGCAGATAGTAGACTCTGGGTTACATGTTAGCTCTTAAATCTGGTGGGTTTTATTGGCGTTGTCGTGTGTGTGTGTGTGTGTGTGTGTGTGTGTGTGTGTGTGTGTGTATGAGTGTATGTGTGTATGTACTCATGTCTGTCTGTCTCTCTCTCTCTGTCTCTGTGTGTGTGCACAAGCATGCACATCTGTGAGTGTATTCCACTTTCAATCAAAACATTTCAGAAGTGAGGTGAAAGCATGTGCTTACCTTTGAGGAACTGGGCAGAGCTATCTGCGATGTCCACTCAGCCCCTGCAAGGGACCAGGGCTCCACACCCCACAGGCTTTGGAGGATACTGTCCGTTTCAGAATTAAGCAGGTACTCCTGAGCTGGAAGGAAGAATCCTCAGTCAGACCTCAGGCCCAGCATCCACCTCTAAAACTGACAGGGCCCAAACTTTACCATAATGTTTCCACTTCCTTGCTCTCCATGGATGCTCCTTGATGCCCATCCCCGTGACAGAGGCTCTCTTGGTGCCTCTGAATTCTCCTAGCGCCACACTAAGTAATGACATCACCATGGTCTTGGGACACTACAGATCACTGCCTATCTCCCTAATCCTCTGCTAACCTCCAGGGTGGGGCTGCCACCTCCTGTTCCCTCTATTATATCCCACACCTTGAATGCACCTCCTGCAGGGGGCGCCAGGCAGCCTCCTGGACCCTAGTACAAACAGCCCAGTTAACCACAAGCATTTCCTTCTTCCACAGATGAGAAGGCTGAGCTCAGAGAAGGCAAGCTGCTAGAAATCAGTAGCAGAGTGGGGGCAGTTAGAATGCAAAGCTCCCCAGCTGTGGAAGCTAGTGCCAGCTCAGGCCAGAGGGGCAGCATCGAGGGTACAGAGGGCACCCCAATCTGACAAGGGCCTTTCTTCTCATGCATTGACATCCTTCTAAGTGCCACGCAAGATACAGGATCATCATATCATCCTCCTTTCAGAAATAATCTGTGTGGCTCAGAGAGGCTGATTAACTCACCCACAGCTGCAGAGCTGGCAAGAACAGAGTCTAGCAAAAGAGCTCCAGAGAAAACAGATCTGGAGAGTGTTAAGTCCTTCTGAGTGCAATGGCAACAAGCCCTCAGAGCCCCTTCCCAGCCCCACATCTAAACCAGCCCCATACCGCTAGTAAATGGTACTTAAGGACTTAAGGCCCGAGGAGGGAAAAGTCTGTTTGGTCCCCAGCCCCTTACTTTCTCTATTGCAATAAAAACAACATGACAATAACAACAAATCCCTCATGTCCCTCTCTGTGAGCAGGCACAGTTAATATTTAGCTCATCTTTTAGCTTGCCTTGCTGACCACATGAGGATGTGTGTGCATGATACAGCTGAGAGCATCAGACGCTCCGTGTCCTGCTTTCTTTGAATTTAATGCAATATCATCACATTGCCCTATGACATGGCATTCTCCGTCACCAACACTGAGATCAGTGGGTGAACACAGCTGTCCACTGAGCTTGTCCCTAATATTATGTGGGAATTACTTATATGAGATGAATGTTCAGGGTTGGGGAACGGATATCATGATTCATAATGAAGAACCGAGAGGAGGAATTTGAGGTTCTTCTTTCTCTCCAGTGTGTTCTGACACTATGAGGTGGACGGGGGGGGGGGGGCTGAGCATCAGAAGGAGGAGAAGGAGAAGGAGTAGGAAGAGAAGGAGGAGGCGAAGTAGGAAGTCCCCTTAATGGTATAAACTCAACCCTGGGCAGTTTGCACCCAGCTAACCCGGCCCTGACTTTTGGGGGAAACACAGAAATGTTTCTGGCAGGTGCACTGACCTCCTCTGGCTGTCATCCCCTTGGAGCCCACATCCAGGTGGCAGACTGTCTGGAAGAAAAGACAGTTCAGTGGGTACACAGTGTAGAGCAGGATGTGAAGGCTCCCAGAGGACAAGAGTGAGGCTAGATGCCCTGTGCAGCTGAGCTGGGTCCATGCTGGAAGGTAGGTGTGGTGATGTGTCACCCATATTCCCTCCTCAGCCACCTTACAGGTGACCTGGACCAGGTCTGTTTAAGGGTACCTCACAACACACCAGGGGCAATTCAGTTTTCTTCACTCATAACCAAGCTCCAGGCAGAGACAGCAAGTGTCTCTTCAAAGTGCATCAAGAGGAAATTTAAGAGTTGGGACATCTGGTACTAGTACTGCCAGGGGCCACTGATTCTTCATCCAGGTAATGAGGAGACCTTGAACCTGAGCCACCCCCTGCCCTACCGCAATAATCACTTACATCTGTAGGCAGCAGGGCAGCCTCAGGAACTCACACTCCATCCAGCAGACCAATCGGGTAAGAAGAGCCATCTACTATATCTTCAAGGCAGATTGGAGCCTGGACCATGCATCCTGTGGGCAGGGCCCTTGTGCAATGGCCCTGTGACATCTTCTCCCCCATCTTTATCATGATGCTCCAGGTACCAGCACAGCTCCTCGTCGTGCCTGGAAGCTCTACTCTCTTTCCTTTACTGGCAAACTTTTGTGTGATTGTCAAGCCCTAATTCAAATGTCGCAGCCCCTGGATCATCCTCCCTCCTGCCATAGTTCAGCCTCCTGCCTTGCTACATGCCCTGACCAGGATCTATGTGACAGCCGGGCTCTGTGACAGACTGCAGAATGGACTGCATTAACTAGTAACTTAGCTGTCCTCTGGTCACAACCCATCCCTCACCACCTGTCAATAGCCTTGTGCCCCAGGCATCTGATGCCTGCTCTACTGCTCTGCTTAGGTGTCCTGATTTCACTGCCATTGCTGTGACAAGTACATTGATAAAAAGCAACAGGGGGAAGAAAGGCTTATTTCAGCTTACAATCCCAAATTACAATCCATCATCTTGGAGAAGTCGAGACAGGAACTCGGGAACTACTAACAAGGCATCCGCTGTTGTGCGCCAAGAGAATTAATAAATGCTTGCTCTCAGCTAGCCTTCTCTTCTACTGTTCGAGACAGCTGTGGCGTGTGCCTGTGTCTTTGTAGTGAGCACTACAAGGACCTGACTTTCCCAAGAAGTTGGAACCTCACTCAGTGTTGCTGGATGGTGCCCTAGCCCCTGCTGGGTATCTATTGTAGTCTAAATGAGAAATATCTCCCATGGACTCATGTATGTGAGCACTTGATCCGCAGTTGGTGGGGCTGTTGGGGAAGGTTATAGAGCCTTGCTGGAGGGCGTGTGTAACTTGGGACAGGCTTTGGGGCTTTAGGTCCTAACCCTTCTTCCTGTTCTTTCTTCCTTTCCTTCCTGTGTGTGGATAAAAATGCTGACAAGCCAGATTCCAGCTGCTGCTGTCGCCATGACTTTACCATGCCTTCCCCTTCATGATAGACTCTATCCTCATGGAACTATGAATCAAAATAAGCCCTTTCCTTTGGCTGCTTTCCCTGGGATAGTTCTCGTAGCAGCAGAACGTGGCTATGACATGGTCTATAACCGGTACCATATTAGGCTCTGTGAGATGCCATTTGATCCTCAAAGAGCCTCTTGGGGGACAGAGAACCCTACTGACTCAAGACACAGGTAACTCTGAGAGGTGAGGGTCCAGCATCATGTTCGTTGTGAGCACGGTATCTTCATGTATAGGTGACCATGCCTAGATGTAAGCCAGACTAGGAGAGGGCTGAAATCAATCTCCCTGAGCCAGGCCCATTCACCAGAGGAATGAGGTGAATTTAGGAGTGGGAATACTACCTTGTCCTTTTCCCCACCTCCATCTTAAAGCCAGGAAAATGGCAAGACCTTGAACTCCCAGCCAGAGCCACAGTGAAAGCTGGCTGACATGATGCCCACCATCACCAGCCCAAGACAGCTGAGCTGGAGGAAGGAGGCCCACTGGGACACCACACATGGCCAGCATGTGTTGTTCTGGGGAAGCTGCCCATCAGAGAGATGAGGTAATGACAGGGTACCAACAGTGTATGTGCACTGGACTGGGCCCCACAACCACGTACCAGACAGAAGGGCTGACTAAGGATGGGTTCCACCCCGCTCCCAAATCCCAGCCAGAAAAGGCAGAGATGCAACTCTACCATTGCAATGATGGAAGGTAGGAAGAATGCTAAGCCACACCCCTCTTCTGGGAAGGGAGGATGCCAAACAGTCTCCACCCTTTATCCAAGGCCTTGAGAGCTATGGCGTTAGTAGGGCCCTCCTTCTGGGAAGACAGAGTGAATAAATCCATTCGTGGAGTGGCAGCCTGGACGGCAGAACAGGCACATGACCATATATAAAGCATGATGGCCTGCCTGGGTGTTTCCAAAGAAGGGCAGGGTTTGAATTCTCCAGAGGTGTTTTCAGGTTTCTGTCAGAGACACCTCGTCTCTCTACTTGACAGCCTGATGCTGTGCACAGCCTAGCTCAAGCCCACCAGCCACTCCTTAGCCACCAGGCAGCCCTCTAGGCTGTCAGCCAAAGCCCAAAGGCCTCCATCAGGACGCCCATCTGTGTTCCCTGAAGCAACAGCTAGAGTCCATAAAACCAAGCGCTCTGGACCAGCTTCCAGCCCAGCTGCCAGTGGGAGGGGCTGCCACCACCACGGCTGAAAAGCTCAGTGTCTCTCTCTAGCCACTGCTTGGCCACCAGGGTCATCATGGCTCAGACGATACTGCTGGAAGGGGAAAAAAAAAAATGGCTTCACAGTGCATAGCCAACTCCTCAGACCCCAGCCTAGGGAACCTGTCTTGGGGACTCTTGGAAGTTTGTCTCTCTGGAGTTGCTGGGATCCTGCACCAACACTCCACATTCTCATTTCTGGAAGCTAATGAAGCCTAGCAAACACCATGGACTCCAGTCAGGCACTCCATCTCTGTGCCTGCCCTCAGGATCTGCCCAGGAGCCAGGAGAAGCATCCTTGGAATATTCTTAGTCTTCACAACACACCCCAGCAGTTTTTAGTCCTTATGCTGGAAGAGACACGCATATTGAAGACTGGCCTTCCTGTGACAAAAGGGACTTCCTTGGTGGGTGCCAGACCCACGCAGTGACCAGCAGTTACTCCTCACCTGCTCATCACTGTAGTGGCCATTGATGTGACTGTGGTGTGTGCAGACTCCTTTGTCAGCTCCAAGAATACCCTCCACTGCATAGGCAAGCCACTCAGCATGGAAAGAGCTGAATTAGAAAGCTCCACAGGGACGCAGGTCTCTGGGCAGGTGAAGACCCTCTGGGAGCCTCATTTTTATGTTCTGGATGGGGGAGAACTGTGCCATGCTTGTGGGATAATGTTTACAGCAAGCACTTAGACATCACCTACACACAGTCAGCAGACCATTTAAGTGTCCCCTCACAGGTCAAAGGGACAAGAGGGCAGTGGATGTGACCCTGAACCTCCAATCTCAGCCTCTTACCGAAGGTTGCTTGTTCTTGCCTCTCAGGGGCTGTACTGAGCAGAGTGTGCTCTTCCCATTGTACAGATTAGAGAACAAATGTCAAAGGGCTCAGGGATACTAGTGTGTAAATCAGCCTCGGACAGAGCCCTGCAGAGGCCAATTGTTCTCCTGCCCCTTTGGTTAGCTTGCTGTGTTTTGGCTAACTTGGTTCTCCCCTAGTACCCTAGATCTATGGCTCTGGGTGGCTCTGTTAACACTCCTGGCCAGGAAATGGCACGGTAGGCTGATGCAGTTTCCAGAACGCAGAGTGGGAATGGACTCCGAATATCTAGTCAGGTTACCTTCTGTGCTGGTTGTTTTGTTTTGTTTTGTTTTGTTTTTATCAACTTGACACAAACCTACACACACCTACAAAGACGGAAATCTCAATTGAGGCCATCAGACTAGACTGTGGCCATGTCTGTGAGGAACTGTCTTGACTGTGGATGTGGGATGTCCAGCCCACTGTGGGCAGTGCCATCCCCTAGCAGGTCCTAAGCTGTGTAAGAAAGCAAACTGAGCATGGTGGGCTAGAGAGCAACCCCAGGAATCAGCACCCCACACCCACGGTGTCTGCTTCCTGCTTCCAGGTTCTGGCCTGAGTTCCTGTCTTGGTTTCCCTGATGATGAATTGTAATATGTGAGCCATATAAGCCCCCACCTTCCTCAGATTGCTTTTGGTCATAGAATTTATCACAGCAAGAAAAACCAAACTAGGACAGCTTCAAAGCTGCAGGTAGTACTGAGCTGAGTCAGGAGCAGAGCCAGGGCTGTGGCACTGAATAGTCAATGCAGAGGACAGAGAGGCTGACCATCAGGGACAGTTAGGCCTGCTGTGTGGCCTCCCCGAGATCTGCATCCCAGGCCAAGAGGAGGCATCCCAGGCTCAGGGACTCTCCTCACAGATGGAGGTATCTAGCCTGGAACACATTACCACCCGCTCCCTATCCCATACCTCACCTCATACCCCATCCCACATCCCACCCCACACCCCACTCTCCATCCCCATGCCATTCCCCATCCCATCCCACACCCCCATCCCACACCCCCATCCCACACCCCCACCCCACAACCATTTTTCTTCAGCTCCTACACGACCTTCTGACAACAGATGGTAATTGACCAACATATGAATACGTTAATGCCTCTCTGATAACTGCAGGGGAAATGTGTCGATGTGCGTGCGTGCGTGTGTGCGTGTGGGTGCGCGCGCGCGCATTCATCCTAGAGTATTCCAGGCCATACACTAGGTCTGTTTTCCATAGATAATTGATTATGCTCTGATTAACACATCAGCCCCTTCGAGTTTGGTTATTGGAAATCAGACTATCCCACCTGTGTTCATGCTGTAATCAATACCTCATTGCTTTAGTCCTGTCTCTCTTACCTCATTTATTAGGCACCACCTGTGTCCCAGAGACTGTTTAATGACTCCAGCTAGAGTCTATTCTCTCTCTCCTCCCTTTATAGCCACAGAAACAGAGGCCCACTAGACATGGCAGCTGGTGTTCTGGATTTGAGCGCTGGGCCTGCACCCGGTCTCTACACCTTTGGCAACACCATGGCCTCCAGTTTCCACCTCCTCAGCTGTATGGCCCCGTGGACCAAGCATCCTAGCAGAGGGGGCTATGTGTACAGAGCTCCTGAAGCATGGGTGACAAGAATGTCTGGTGACCCAGCATGATGATGCTTATGTGACACATTTATGTCTGCTCCTAAGCCATAAGGACTTCAGAGGCAGAGGATCCCCAGCACTTTTCACAGCACAGAACACAGGTGCTGACTACAGAAGGAACCAGAGAGTGTCTTGGTCAACAGCTAAGAGAGCACAGGAAGGCAAGTGGTGTGGGCGGGACCCACTCATGGTCCCTACCAGCAGGGACAGGGTTGTGCATGACAACTTACCTCTAGGGCTCCTGGGGTCAGGAAGGTGGCTGCATACTCGGCCAGTGCCACATCATCAAGCATCTTCTGTGCCAGTTCAGAGAGCAGGTGGTTCTTGGGCTCTCCTCTTGGCAGCTCCTGCAGTAGTTGCTCAATTAGGCGGTTCCTCTCCTGGCATTTATGGACCAGGGAAGCCAGCTTGGCCTGGAATGTGGGGCGTATGGTATAGGCTGAGCTGGTGGCCGGAGTCCTGCCCCGTTGCTGGCGTGGTTCCCTCACCCACATCAGGACCTCAGGGTGGTGTACTAATAGACTCCCGGCTCACAGCAGAAAGGAGGCAAGAACACAGACTGGGGCTCTCCTGTGATGCAGTACTGTGACTAAGCTCCTCTTCACACCTCAACCTGCCAAAATGTACGATGCACTGTGAGGGGACCAGGGCCCGCCCGCAGAGCCCCGCCTTTTCGTTTGGGTAAAGCACCAAGTCCTGGAACTTTCCTACAGATGAGAAGAACTTAGTGGAGGGCACCGTCATGGTCCCGCCCGACTTTATAGGATGCATTGCACTGCCCTGGATATGGCGCCCCAGACGACATCTCGGAGTCTCAGTAGACTTCTCCCTTTCTATTTTACGAGCACAAAGACAGACAAGGACCCCACAGGAGAGGAAGTGGTTCGTATGTCTGATATAACAGTCAAGGAAACTGAGTCCATAGGAGAAGGCAGGAAGCTGGTTTTGGGTGTCTCAGAGTTTGGCCGGTGGCTCCTCCTCGAACACCACACAGAGACCAGGACCTCGGGATGAACCTCTGCCTCCTCCCAAAAGCAGACCCAGATGAAATGTCACCGTATCCTGCTAGCAAAGAGCATGTGGAACAGCAAGGGCCAGTCCTGGGTGTGCCCCAGACATAAATATAAAAGGATGGTGGGGGGAGCTTCCTAAGGAAACGTGTACTGGGGTGTATGCGGTAATGAGAAAGTGGAGGAGACAGAGGGGAGACAGAGAGGAAACGGCAGAAGAAAAGATGAGAAGGGGAAGACCTGAGGGTAAGGTGAGAATGTGAGCACCAAGCGGTGGTCTCCAAACCCTTCCATATCCTAGGTTGCACCAAGGAGAAAGTGGGACCCAGCATGTGGGGGCAGGGCACACGGCATCCAGGATGATCTGGAACACACGAGAAGCCGGATAGGAAGGAGATATATGGAGCGTTGTTCATGTGACATCTGTCCCCGGCACTCTTGGGTATTCTTATGAAATGCTAAGCACGATGACATGGCAGGGTGTTACCTTCAGAGGACTCGTGGCCAGGCGCTCTTCATGCTGCTGTTCCCGAAGCTCCTCAAGCTGAAAGGAGAGCACGCTTGTGACTACTGAGCAGTATGGGTTTGGTAGGGGAAGGTACAGAGTGCTGCTCTACCATCACCTTTCCCTGTGTGGAGACGGGGTGCCGGGGAACAGCCATCCCTGATCTCCAACATGGAGTCACAGAGACACAATCTGGTGTGAACCTTGAGTCCCTGAACCAGACAAAATTCCAACCAAGATGCCCACTGTGACCTGAGAGTCACTTGCTCTTCCTCCCTAGTGTCTTCTGTGCAGTGGGGGGGGCAGTGCCTGTTCACCCCAAGCTGAGGGTCACAATGAGGCCTCACTGATGTTGGGCACCTAGACCCAGACATGGTATTCAGTCAGTGCCCAATAAACACTCGCTACTGTTACTACTTGGGGCAAATTAGCAACATGGATTCTTTGCCTGGTGGGAGGCACATCCCAGCCTTAGCTCACATCCCAGCCCTAGCTCCAGGCTGGCCTCTGGCATCCAACACACAGCATGCAGCATGCAGGCCTTCCTGACCTGGCCTCAGTTCCTGCTGGGAAGGCAAGCTTGGGACCAGGAACAGGGAAGCAGGGAGTGGGGGGGGGGACAGGCACCAGGCACTTGTGTGGGTTCCTCAGACTTTCGCATTAGCCGAGCATCTACCAAAGGACCCCAATTCTCTTCAGCCAGATTCTGTCTAAATTCTTGTCACACTAAAATGTATTAAAATGGGAATTTTATAGCTATTCCCTCACACTTTCTTGTCTGCAGTGACTTAAATAAACCCTCAATTTTTTTTTTTTTTTTTTTTTTTTTTGGTCAACATTACACACTCACAAGAATCAGGATTTGCATGCACAGACACATGGAAATATGCTACATGGAGAGGGTAGCACATCCTGTCTGGTAATTAAATAAAAAGCCATGGTGATGTTTGCAGGCAAACCAACTGGCCTGGTCCCTTTAAAAACCTGAACACCCTCTCTTCGTGCAGCTGTGCTGTGATTTATATCAGCAGGTCTCTATTGGTTGGAATGTGTAATGCTGGTCTGTTCCTTTGCTTTACAAAGAGTATTTCTGTGCATCTGTTTGATGTAACTTTCCAGGACTGGCCAAAGGGTCGATTCCAGCTCCAGGTGGATCAATGTGTTCACAGGTACTCCATGTATGCAGGCATGTATGTTCCCTGCCTTAGTTTGGGAAATAGCTTGAATGTGTTCCTGTGAACTGAGTGCAGGATACTTGCAATTAAAAAGCAAATGCTCATCCCTTCATGGGACATTTGTACCACACCCCCCCTCTCTTCCTAGACTCAGGGATCATCGAGGATGAGGGGTCACAAAGCACGAGAGTCAGAGTGATAGATGACTACACGGAAACAGTGTTTTAGGGACACTGAAGGCCAACTGCACATATGAATTCAGTGTTTGTACTGCATGCATGAGACCCACGCAAGCTCAAGGCAAGCTTCATGCTGGGGCATGAAGAAGGGAAGCGAGCATGGGGTCCCACACTACTGGCCGAGGAGCCATTGACAACTGCTAGAGCTGCTGGGAGAGAGAGAGAGTCGGCCCTGGTAAGTGGGCCACACTGTAGCAGGAGGCCACGCTTCCAAGAGTACAAACTGTACTTGATGGATTTCAAAAAAGAGATACAAAGTTGTGTGAGTAGGGAAGGGAGGGATGAATCAATGAGGAGTTGGCAGAGGGGTGGGTGTGATCAAAACACATGCGTAAGATGATCAAAGAATCAGTGATTTCTTTTTAAGGCAGTTTCCCTGTGTAGCTATGGCTGTCTTGGAACGCCCTCTGTAGACCGGGCTGGCCCTGAACTTCGAGATCCACCTGCCTCCCTGAGTGCTGGGAGTAAAGGCATGAGCCACCACCACCCAGCTAGAACCAATGATTTGTTAAGTGGATGAGAAGAGGGTAAGAAGAAAAGTTGGGGATTGGGAGAAAGCGTTTTTTGAGTCATGTGTCTACTCATTCCTTAGCTATAACATTTTGGGGAGGCTCTTTAGGGTTTTCTGTATAAAAGCTTATGAACAAGTATCCCGCATTGATTAAAATCAATCCACTAACACTGCCAGCACTTACTAAGCGCTAACAGGTGATGGGAAGCAACGTGGGGAACCCCTGTGCATCTCACCAGGTTCCCCCCATTGAAAACATCTCACAAAGCTGCAGCATCAGGAGGGATGACTAGAGTCAGCACAGCCCACCGCTGCAGCCAGGGTTTCTGCCCTTTTATGTGAGCATGCTATCAAGGTGTGGGAGTTGAACTCCCGTTGGTCTGAACGTTCCCCACAGCTGTGGCTCTGAATCCGCCTTGACACTCTCACTGGCCTTTCATAATCATGTCCAAACATTTCCTGCAGAGAAAGGACGGAATTTTCCTCTTGAAAGTATCTGAATGTGCCTTTGCCGGCTAGTCTTAATATCAACTTGACACAAGCTAGAGTTATCTGAGAGGAGGGAACCTCAATTGGGAAAAACGCCTCTATAAGATCCAGCTGTAAGGCATTTTCTTAATTAGTGATGGGGCGGGGCCAACCCATTGTGGGTGGTGCCACCCCTGGACAAGTGGTCTTGGGTTCTATAAGAAAGCAGGCCGGGCAAGTCATGGGAAACAAGCCAGTAAGCAGCACCCCTCCATGGCCTCTTGGTCAGCTCTTACCTCCAGGTCTTTGCCCTGCCTGAGTTCCTGTCCTGACTTCCTTCAATAATAAACAGCAATATGAAAGTATAAGCCAAATAAATCCTTTTCTCCACAACTTGCTCTTTGGTCATGGAGTTTCATCATAGCAGTAAGAACTCTAACTAAGACAGTGCCTGATGCTTAAAAAAAAAAAAAAAAAAAAAAAAAAAACTCTGTATATACATCGTTTTTAATGGAGTACAGCTGGCTGGAAAGGTTCCAGATCCCATGCCTTTCTCCTGCACATCACTCTATTCTTTAAATCTCTACTCAACACCATCAAGCTGTAGGTACTTGCTCCTTGAGGTCTGGGAACATTTGGAGGGTGAGAAGGGTTGGCCCAGCCTACCTTGCCCTTGAGCTTATCCTGGAGACCCACAGCCTCATCCCGAGCTGCCTGCAACTCCCGCAGTGCCCAGTCCTGGTCCCTGAGCTGGCACTGTAGAGTCCGCACCTGGTGGTGGAGCCGCTGTATGCACAGTTTGGGGTCTTCCTCAGAGGCAGCGGCCTTGGGGGTCTGGAGCTGAGAGAAGGAAGTGGGGGGGGGAGGTCAAGTTCTCAGGTGATAACATACCGTAGCTGACAATCGGTACCTGTTCTATTGTCTGTCTGTCTGTCCCGTTTTCTTTTCTCACAGTGGAAGGAAGAAAGGAGGGAGGGTGAATGAATGATGGATGGAGGGAAGGAGAGAGAGAAGAAAGGAACAAATAACCATCGCAAATGCTATATCTCAGCCTATTATTGCTACCATCCATTTCCCACATGCCCTGCCCTTAGCGCCTTTATGTGCACACATGAGTGTGTGGGTCATGATGTTAGGTATCTTGGGAGGGGAGGGCAGAGTATATGGAACCCCAGAACAACAGCCCAGAATATCACCCTCAAAAGTATGCAAAGTAGGATCAGCCAGGGTCCTGTTTAGTCACTGTCAGTCACTATTGTATTGAAACACAGAGAAATGAATGAAATTTCACACACAAATAGACATGCATTCCATTAAAGCTTCGTGACTTTAGATAGGACATACAATGCTGAATTTCCCATGAGCACTGTCTTAAACTAGTTCCAAATAATCTCTTATTCTCTGACAGAAAACCAGGGTAACAGGTTCCACAGGGATACCAGGGGATTCAGGGAGAAAGGAACTTGCCCAACCCTGAGGGAAGTGGACTCAATGGCAGGGATAGTGCTGCCCCCAAATGGTCCCATATGGTAAGTTCACGTAGTTTTATTTTCTTACATATGCATGCATGTGCACTATCCTTGCGTTTTCCTTTACACATTTTTAAAGATTAAAAATGTTAATCTATGTGTATGTCTGCGTCAGTGTGTGACACATGGGTGCAGTGCCCAAGGAGGCCAGAAGATGGTGTCAACCCCCCTGGAGCTGGGGTTGCAGGTGGTTGTGAGCTGCCTAGCATGGGTGTTGGGAAAACAGAACCTGGGTCCTCTGGACGAGCAGCAGTAAGTGCTCTGAACCCTGAGGCCATCTCTCCAGCTCCCCTATAAAATCCGATACAGCATACATATCCTTTTCTCTCTCCCCGTCACATGCCCGTCACAAGCCTGTCACACGCTAGTATTGGGGTGCCATGTGCAGTTGTGCGCAACTTGATCGTGCCAACGCTGCGGGGAGGTAGGTCTTGTCCACGACAGGAACACACCTGTGGGTTCCTGGCTTGAGATCACAGTGGAGGGTCTCTGGGCCCACAAGTAAGGAAGGCATGATCAATCCTGGCCATAACACTAAGCTGGTTACAACTTACAGGAAGCACCCCCTCCACGAAGGACTGGGGAGCTCAGAAACTCATTTCAAACAACCCATTCATCTCATGTCCACCACCATTCTACACTCTAATGGGAGAGGAGGAAAGGACCCCAAGCTATTCTGAGTGGGGGTGGGGGAGAATCATGGAGCAGGAGGGGACAGCATCCATGTGACTCTGTGACTGACCGGACATCTTTCTGTGAACAAGAACCACAGTAGCAGAATGTGATTTGTTTTTTTCTTAATTAATAGAAATTCACACTGAGTAGGCCTGAGACTCACAGGCTGGGGCCTGCCAGGGACAGATGGATGCTCCAAACAGTGCCATAAAAAGTAGCTCCAGACTCCAAAACAAAGTGGCCTTTTGAGAAGTTTGGGGGTTTGTTGTCACCTCCTGCCTCTGGTGGCTTGGACAAGGGTTCTGCCCCACGGGTCCTAAAAGAGAGCCCACAACGTGATCTGGTAGTAGAGGGGGAAACCTGCCTGTTGCCTGAGTCCGCCCTTCCAGCTGACTGCATGCTGCGCTTTGGCTTAGGGACAGCAGGGACACTGTCCCACAAGAGCTCTGGTTGGCAGGGAGAGTGACAGACAGAGGTCATTCAACACAATTAGCAGAAGAAGGGCCAGTGGGAGCCCTTAGGAGCCTCTGAGCAGAGGGTCTGGCCCCATCCATGCTGTGGTGGCGGACACCGTGGTCCATGCTAGGACAGTACCAATCCATATCATTCACCTATTCTGGTGACATAAAGCCCCACTGCAATGGCATCGATGGCCGCAGAGCTTCGAAGAGCTGTGCCTGAGTCAGCTCCGACCCCCCTCTTCCCTGAGCCCAGGCTGCAGGGCTGAGCCTCAACTGTCAGTAGCAGCTCCCAGGTGAAAGCTGGGCCGCACAGAGAGGTGAAGGATGCAGAGAGCTCACAATGCAGTTCAGGGTGCAGCGGGGGTGGGGGGTGAGGACAGTGGAAAAGCGCAGCCTTGGAGACTCTCCGCTGTGTGGGTTCCTACTGTAAGAGCTGGGGGTCAATGGCCAGTATGACAGGAAGCTATGAGAGGGCCATAGGCCTAAGAGTGACTAAGAGGGACCTTTCTTCACCCTCTTCCCTGATCATCCCTAAATCCTGTGGGCTTCATCACCAGTTGTTAATTCAAAACTCTCTCTCTCCCCCCCCTCCCTCTCTCTCTCTCTCAGACACACACCACTACCACATCAGGGGAGGATCAACTAGTCAGCTCTGACCTGTTCTCAACAGCTTTCCACCTTCCATGTCATACCACAGCCCTGGCTGCTGTGACGGTCACACCAGCTCAGCTTTACTTTTCAACAATTCAGGGTTTTCACTGCGTCGGGGGCCGGGCAGCCATCTTGCCATGCCCTGAAACTCTCTACTCTGTATTCGTCTCCGTGAATTTCCGGTTCTTGCCTGCTCAAGTCAGAATAGCTATTATTGGAACGCTAAGAAATCCAGGGAGAGAACACAAAAATAGTTCTTTGCCAGCCCTGGAAAGTGACAGGGGCAGGGGGCGCGGAGGGGGGGGGAAGTGCAGGAATCCCTCCCTAGGCTTCTGGCTGAAACACTCTGTTGACCACAGTTCTGGAAATCGGCTCCAGGGCTGAGAAGAGGGCTGTGAGAAAGGGTGAGACATGAAGTTCAGGTATGTAAGGACAGCCGGGTGCGGAGAACGCACAGAGGACAGAGAGCTGCATTTAAATCAAAATAAAAACATAAACAAATGCTGCCCTAGAAATGCCATTCTCCATCCTTCACTGGGAGGGGACCCACCAGGACCACAGGGTCAGCCAGTGCTGAGAATGTGACAGTTTGGCCTGAGCCAAGGTAAAGCCGTCCTGCTGAACACTCTGGGAACTCAGCCAACGCCTCTCCTTTGCAAACAATAAAATGGCTAGTTTAGATGCACAAGGTACAATGAATGAATGGAGTCAGGAGCTCACTGGGTGAGTTTAACACAAGTGGGTCACAATACAACACACAGCAAGTTCAAGTCAACAGAACCCAAAGCAGAAGCATGGGCCTGACAAATTAACATAAAGTTTTTACAAAAGATAAAAGATTCAGTCAAAAGCCTGGAATTCCAGAAGGTGAAAGAAAAAAAGAACAAGACAAAAATACATGAGAAAAGAAGAAGAACCATGGAACTGAAGAGATGGTTCCATGAGCTAAAGTGCTTGCTGCAGAGCTGAGGACCAGAGCTCCATGCCCAGCACCCACGGTAAAAGCCAAGTGTGGGGGCACCTATCTGTAATCCCAACATGGGGAGACTGAGACAGGCTGATCCCTGTGACTCCCTGGCTAGTCACTCTAGCCTAATCCGTGAGCCCTTGTCCAAGAGAATGACACCAGAGGTTGACCTCTGGTCTCCACACATGTGCACAGCACACGCACACACACACACACACACACACACACAGAGAGAGAGAGAGAGAGAGAGAGAGAGAGAGATGCATCTCTCCACATGGAAAAGAAATTTAAGGAAATGATAACTACGGATTTTTCAAGTCTGAAGAAAGACAAATATGTAAGTTCGAAGAGGTTGGGAAAATGTGCGTAAAAAATACAAACAGAACCATAGCTTGATCCATCAAGCCATCAAAAATCAGAGATAAAACGGAAATCTTCAAAGCAGTCAGACACGATGACACACGTTTCTTCTGGGAGTGGGGGAAATTATGACAACTGGTTTCTGAGCAGAGCTAGTGGGAGGCGGAGGACAATGGGAGGCAGCCTTCAGAGTGCCGTGTGAGGGGAAGCGCCCACCCACAGTACCGACTCTGAGAGAAGATCTCCAATGCTAGTGAAAACAACGTGTCATAAAGGGAAACGCAAGTCAGTCACTGGCTAACTCTCACTATGAGAAATACCAACAGCAACACTGTCTTCCAAATTCTTATGGAAGAATAAGCATCACAAAAACCGGCAGATATTTACAAGAAAGATTAAGGGCTGCTCACGTCAGCAGTAACAATGACTCGTGAGGCTTATTATACATCGCAACAATGTATAACAAGATCATAAAGAATTAGCAGAGTTAAACCATTGGATTTTTTTTTTTTTGCATGATTTGGGACACAGTACAAAAGCATTAATCTAAGGTAAATCTAAATGACAGATACATCCTGGGATTTCTAGAGTGGTCACTAGGACAATAATAGCAAAGTATACAAATATATAAGCTATTGTAAGAGAAAGAATTATATATATATATACATATATCTATATATACACACACATATATGTGCACATACAAAAATATACATTCACACACACGCACACGTGCATATACAAATATATACATTCACATACACACACCAACAGACGAAGTGCAGGCAATAAAGGAAACTGGTAAAAATCCAAAAGCTGTTCTTTGAGATAGTGGCTAGAATTGCTGAAGAGAGAGGAGAGCGAGGGAAGCAGGAGCCAGCAACGGAGACTGAGGAGGAGGGAGCAGATGGAGATACAGCAAGGGAGAGGGAGAGAGAGGCAGGATGCTGGAGCGACACAGGGTCTCAGCTTCAAGGGTCCCCAGACATTAACAACATGAGCATTTCATCCTGGGAATTTTAAAAGTTGAGATTTATCTTGGGGCGAGGGTGACTGAGAGGGAGGGAGGATCCCAGGTCTGTGCCAAAGTCCTGTGTCTCTACAGAACCAACCCAATTCCATTCTGTTGTGTTACCTTCCATGGACCACTGCTCAGTCCGCAACAACTTTTAAGGCCCAACCTGAAGAGTAATGGCTTGGGCTGTTTGGGCTATTTCCCACTTGGGAAAAATCCAAGGTATGACTTCAGAGCACCAACCACACACACACACACACACACACACACACACACACACACACACACACACAGACAGACAGACACCCTTTCTTCTCTGTGTCTACTGGGAGGGTCAGGCTTACCTGGCAGTCAGAAGGGAAATCTTAAGCCAGCCTGCTTGGGTTCATCCAAGCTGCAGCCCGCCCTAGCGGGTTGATCTCATGCAAACCCCTTCATTTCTCTGCCTGGTTTTCTCATCTAGCAAATGGGGCTGGTGATCGAACTCCCTCCTATGGCTGCCACAGGGATACCTAGGCCTGGTGGTGATGGTGGTAGGCATACCACACTGCCGAGTCAGCAATATTAGGAGGGTTAGCCAACATACCGAGTCAGCAATATAGGAGGAAAGGCAAGCCAACATACCTGGAGGCTGCAGCCCAGGGACCTCTGAGACTGTCCTTGCTGCGTGGAACACCATGGTGTCTCCTCTTCCTTTGGCAGCCGAGCTCCATCCTCCCTTGCACCACTGGTATGTATTTCCTGAGGCCCAACAGTGACTGCACAAACTGATGAGGCAGAACTAGCAACCGCTCTGCATCTGGAAACTTCCAAATCTAAGGAAGGCCCTGCCTGCCCCCAAGTCACACCTGATTTCTCATCCCAGTGTGGTCCACGGGCTCTTGTGATCAGTTGTCCTGAAGACAGAGTCCCCTGGACCTCTTTGTCTTCATTGTGTCCCTTGTCTTCTGCCATCTTGGAGTTTCCCTGGGAACACCATTTTTCTTCCGCTGAATCCCCGCTCATCCTCAGGACCTCCCGCTCCAGGCCTTGGACCCTGCCTACAAGGTGTTTGTTTTCCCTCTGCAGAGCCCAGACCATGTCTTCTATCGCTAGCACTGTATCTTTTATCAGCCCTTTGTAACTGACCCCAAGCTCTGAGATCAGAGCCCTGAGCTCTCTGTTTTCCAGGGTAACACGCTTCATGTTGCTTCCCGCTTTCCTGACACTCTCGGACATGGCTTTATGCAGCCGACCCAGGTCCCCCTTCAGTTTCTCGTTCTCTTCTTCCAGTTGGGAGATCTTGCAGTAACTCTTCCCATTACAGTCCTCCAGGTCAGACACAGCCTGCAGACACTGGTCCAGCTCATGCCTGAGGCAGACCAGCTCTCCCTGCAGTATGTGGTTTGCTTGCTCCAACCTCTGTGCTTTGGCTGCTTCTCTGGCTCGCTCTCTCTCACAATAGCATCCTTCATGATCACATCCTTCATGGTCACATCCCTCTTGGGCTCCTTGAAGCCTGGCATTATCAAGCAAAGCCTGACTTCTCTCTTTCTTTGGGGTGGCAAGGAGCTGGTGGAACCTGCTCCCCGCCTTCTTCCGGGTACACCTTGTAGGAGGGAGCAGGCTTTCACCTGGGCCACAGTTGGCTTTATCCCCATCAAGTGCTGCTCTTGGAAGAAGGTCTCTAGTACACAGGGCCGCATCCTCTTCCAGCCTCACTCCCTCACCATTCCTGCTGGGTTTTGCATTCAGATCCTGGCTGACCGAGGCCCGCTGATGGCACACACTGCCCTCAGTGTCCAACCATGTGTGAGTGACACTCTGGCGCTCTCCTGCCTGCGCTGACATCTGCTGGGGATCTCCACAGACAATCTTCAGGTTGTTCGGCTGCTGGCAGCAGACCCCCACCTCCCTCTCCAGTGTGTCCATCTGGAGGGTGCACCTGTCCTGTCGTGTGATCAGAGCCTGCGAGGGGCAAGGACCTTCTCTGCTGTCACCCGCTGGGGCCCATTTGAGAAACTTCAGCAAATGCCGACCACTCACTGGTACGCACTGTTCCTGACCCACATGGGCCTTGAAGTCAGGCTGCTCCCAGACTCCCAAAGAAGCCGGGCTGGGTACCACTCGTACCTGCATCTTCTCCTCTTGTCCTTCATCCCCAGACCTCTCCTTCTGCAGCAGCTGAGTGTCTCCAAAGCACAGCTGGTGGCCCTGCTTGCCCCGTGCCCTCCTCCAGACCTCTTTGCCCTTTCCTACTGGAAGCTGGCTACCATTTGGCTCTGGCTCTCTGGTCTCGTGGGCCCTGGTGCTGGTGGTCTCTTCCTCCTTTTCTGGTGACAGCTTCCCTAAGAGTTCCCAGGAACATCCTTCCACACTCCCTTTCTTGCTTGAGGAATCAGAGCCATCCTCGAGCTCTGACCTAGAGGTTGTCCCATGCAGAGACAGGGTTAGCCATTCTGGCTGGAGCCAAGGGCAGTGGGCTATGGCCTGGGTCTCTGAAGCCCTGTTCCCTTCCTGCATGTCTTCTGGGGCTTGGGTCTCAGTGTTCAAGACCAGCTCCTCATTGCTTTCCTGGTCCAGCTGGGACTTGTGATCAAGCTCTGAATTTATCATTCCCAATGTTCCTATCACCCCCCACTTCTCTGCACTTGCAACTGGGGGCCCGCTCCTCTCCTCCCACGCATCTCTTGGCTCCTTGGGCCCTTTTGTGGGAAACGGACCATTTGAAATGAGTGGGGACTGCTGGCTGTAGGAGGTGAGATGGCTCCTTGCCAGATTACAAGGCCAATTGTGGTGTGCCACACCCCCAGGGGCAGGTGAGGGGTTGCTGTCCACATCTTCTTGGGTCTGAAGTTCTTGTAGGGAATGCTCTGGGAACAGAGATGGCAGTAGGAGCTGTGGTTCCTCAGAAGGTCCCCAGAGCGGGAGCACGGATGTTGGTAACAGCAAAAGGGATTCCTGGGCTCTCGTGGCTCGAAGCTTCTCGGAAACTCCTGCCAGGTCCAAGGAGCAGAATGGCTCATCCATGCCTGGCCCTGGGGGACAGCTACACAGCAGCTGAAGAATCTGTCCCTCTAGCTGGGGCTGGAAAAGAGCACCCTGCAGGTGGGAAGAGGAGATGTGGCATGAAACAGCCTTTGCCTGCTGAGCCCCATCAATACCTGGTCATGTCCGCCACCCACCGCAATACTCCCTGAACCTGCTCACACAGCTGCATGTGTGTCCTGCTCTTCCACCTCAGGAACTCGGCCTGAGCTCTTCCAATTGCCCAAGATCCTCCTTCTCCTGGATACTCTCAAGGAACATCCCTTCATCTCAAACCAAACACTGTCTCCTCGAAAAGACAACCCCTGGAACACTCCCACCCTCACTTAACTCCCGCAAACTACACCATAACGGATCATACACAGATGTCTATATCGTGGTCCACACTCCCTACTGCCCTTTTCTATCCAAGAAGGTCTCCATGAGCACCACAGAATATGAAGTTATAAATGTTTTGTTCTGCATGAGCCTGAGCCACCCTGTGGCTTGCAGCTGCCACCCCAGGTGACATAGATTGAGGACACCAACCATGTGTGGAGGGTTTAGTACACAGTATTATGTGGACTCTCTGTTCCCCTGGTGGATAGCAGCTGGTCTTCATTTTGCCCCAGGCCCAGAGCAGTGCCAAGCTCACCTGAGGGGCTTCCTAGACCACCCCGAATGTCTCTATAGTCATTTATACCACACGTCTATCCAGAAAGGAAGATGACTGGCTCACAGCTCCTCAGTGGGGCAGAAGACTGGAAGCAGAGGATCTGAGCTCCAGTCAGCTTCTCTGCCATCCCCAGAGCTTCTCAGTGTCCCTGGGCAATAGGGAGCTTTAGGACTGTGAGCAGGATCTTGGCAAGGACTCTGAACATCAGGAAGAGGCTTAAACTTTGCCTCTGGTCTGGGGGGGAACTGCTTGGTTTCTGGAGTTATATACCTGCATTTGTAGACTGGATATCCCTAAATTAAAAGATCTAACCTGGGCCTTAGGGGCAGTGGTGATACACAGTTCTAACACAGTGATGAGATTAGAGACAACAGAATTAGCAGGGACAGATACGACACTGAAGCTGAGCACATGCTATTTCAGGGTGACAGAGGACTGTGTGGAACTCCTTCCTCTACATGAGCCAAACTTTATGATGGGGTGGTTTCAGGAAGTGAATGGATGAAAAGAATGCACGGGTGGATGGATAGATGCATGGATGGATGCATGCATGCATGGATGCATGAGGTTCAGAACCACAGAGCCACATCAGGACACCACTCCCGGTTCAGCTTTGTTCCTTAGGACAATAGGCAGAAGCTGAGGTCAGTGGTTTGTCACAGCATTAGAACTGATTCAGATCCATCTTTGAGATCAGACCATTAGAGTAACACAGACTACAGAAGGAGACTGGGGCTCTGCACCTTTGGAGCCCACGAGCTCTGGGGAGTCCCAGCATCCATCAGGTCTCCTTGTCCCTGGATAGGGAGGCGGTACCTGCTCTGTGGGTGGTCAGGGGGCTTCACTAAGGCAACATAGTGTCTTGGGGTAGCCCAGGCCAGGCCGTTAGTTGGGTTTCTTTCATCCCACCCTTATTTCTCAATCTCCCCTCCAATCTCTCTCTCTCAATCATTTCCAGAATATTCTCCCCCAGGATGACCATATCACCATGCACACAGCAGGGCTGACAAGGCCGCACTGATCCTCATACCCGCAGAACCTTCTGGCCTCACCTGTCTACGCTCAGACCCTGGCAGGTCTCCCTGGAGCTTGCCTATGGTTCTTGCTGGCAACACCATGCAGGGGTCCGGATGATCTTGAACACAGCTGTGGAGCTCTTCTGAGAGCTGGCCTAGAACAGCAAGACCTAGAGGTTAAAACCACTCTTGGAAGATCTATCACAATGGCCACCAACAGCCATGTCAACTGACAGATGTCTCTCTTGACTTGGGTCTTTTAGCCCACGGTGACTCCTAATGAGTCCTACTCTTCTGCCAGGCAAGGACCTGAGGCTGGAAGGTGTGAATGACCACTAATTGTGAGCAGAGGAACTGGTTCTCAAGATACATCCATCCGTGAACCACATCTGGATTATGCCCTCAGGGTCCTCATCTGTCAGCAAGGTGATAACCACTACCCTGACTCTGCACAGCTTTCCGGAACAGCCCCACCAAGTCACATTCCACGTTGGCCCACCCAACAGCTCTGCTCCCCAGACATGACTGAAGGGGAACATCAGCCACCTCCTCCTGCAACCAGCAGCCCTAGATACATTTTGATGGCTGAAGATGAGCAAGCAGGATCTCTTATAGCAGGAAAGTGAGAAACTATGTCTGACAGTTAGAGATCAGGGACCTGAAAGCCCCGGTAATTCTCAGACTGACAATCACAAGTCTCATCCTCAACCTAAGGAGTGGCCTGGGACAGAAGGAGGCTAGAATGGCCCCTGCTTACCATATACACCTCTGTAAGGACAGGGGCCCCCTACCAACTTGCAGGCTGGCTGGCCCCTTTGAAAGCTGAATGCATACATTTCAGTGTTCAATTATCCTAAGCTAATGGCCCCTAGAACATCATATTCTGATTCTGCCTTGAACAGCTGTGTGACCTTAAGCCTCTCTGACCAGCTGTGTGACCTTGAGCCTCCTTGGGCCTTGTCTATAAGAGGAATAAGCCATCTTGTCCAACGCTGACCTATCAGAAGGATATCAGGTGACCCCTCTATGTATCAAAGCATCCACAAACCTGCTGGGGCTTGAGGTCCATGAGCATCACTGTGGCAGCATTGGCTGCTGCAGGGATCCAGCACCTCTGCCCTGGGTGGGGGCAGAGAATCACTCTGTGAACAGCCCAAGGCACCCTTGAAAGACACAAAGAATTGAACGGTCACAAGTGCCCCGGTTGAAGTGTCCACTCCAAGCCCATTCTTATGCTCCCTTCAGAGCAATGGCCAGACCACTCCAAAGTAAGTAAACTAAGGCTCAGAAAGCTTAGTGAGTGGAAAGTGAGTGGAAAGCTGGCCACGGAGCCTAACCTGGGCCATTGGATTACCAGACCACACTGTTCTTGTTGACTCTAAAGATTCTTTTAGTAAGTTACAAGGGGTGACATCCTGTCCTTGGAGTACTCTGTCCATTCAGACAAGAGCCTTGCCAGGGTTTGGGGGGGAGGTCCTGTCTCTCTGTGCCCCTGGCATCTGCCCAGGGATTTTCAATGTTCCTCTGTGAGCAAGTCCTAAAAGTGACAGTAGCCAGCAGCCTGAAAAGTGCCCCCCCTCACCTAGAACTGCAGGAGGCCAGCTCTGTGAGCAGAGAGGAACATGCCCAGCATGGTACTGGAGCCCACCTGTGAGCTGTTCCAGCTGTCCTGACCACTGTGGGCTCTTGACCCTGACATGATGGCCTCCTGGCCTGCTACTACGCTGGCCACATTCTCTGCCTCTGGGCCTCTGCACAGGCTGTTCCTTCTGCTACTTTAGGGAAGGGTCCTAATAGCCACACACCTGTCATACAGGCCTCTTTGTAGCTGGCTCTTGTCCACCCTACAGCAAATCAAACTGGAAGCCAAACCAGGGCAGGGCGCCCCCCCCCCAATCTTCTCCAGCAAGATAAAAGTCCCATCTTCCCAGTTTCACACATGTGCCTCATCCTGTGTTCCAGCCAAGGACAGTAGGCCCAGGGCATGGGGCAGGGCTGTGGCTGAGCCAAGCACACTAAAGTGGCCCTGGGCAAGGCCACACCACAGTAAACGGCTTCTCACCTAGACCCAGTTTCATAACAGCTCAGTCTTTGGAGTATGCAGTCCACACAAGGTGGTAGTAAATGAAGCTTAGTGTCCTGAAGAAGCAGTGGCCAAGTCCCCATGAGGATTTCTTTAGCCTTCCTTGATCTTTCCACAAATCAAGTCCCCATCGCCCTCCCCCACAGCCCCTCCTTCTGCCGTTCTGTGCTTGTGACCTCTTATCTATCTGTGCAACTGTGCAACGGGTTGTGCTGTGTCCTTTTGGTTACAAATCCTCAGCCTCAGCTGTATCATAGATTCTTCCAGAGGCTTCCAACAAGGACTAATAAGAACACTCGACTCCAATCAGTAGCAACCAGGGGGCATGGGAACCAGTTCACATCCTAATAGACAACAGGCTGCACACAGCCAGGCCTGACCAGGCAGGCCACTGTCAACTGTGCTCATAGCCCTGTTATCTGCCTCTGTTTCTGTCCACTTGGTCCTTTCCTGGTCGTAACGAAACAGTCCCAACCACAGCTTAAAAATCAGCATTAAAGCAAGATCAGAAAGATGAAGGGACAGAGAGAAAAATGCAGGAAGGTTGAAAGAGATGGAGATAAAAGGGAATGGAGAAAAAGATTAGAAAAGAAAAAAATTAATGAAACAGAAAAAAAGAGAGGGGATGACTAGAGAAAGCAAGACTCAAGCTCCAGATAAGTGTAAGGAGAAGAGAGGGCTGAAGGGGAAAGGAAGGCTGGAGTCACGCAGAGCCATACATCACATCATGCTTCCCCACGGCTGGCACGTTCACCATGGCACTTAGTGCACATCCTGCCTGCACGCTGCTTCTCTGCCCACACGTTTCCACAAATGCTTGCTGAGCCCCAGCCAAGGGCCAGGCCTGGTTCTGACACTGGGGACACAGCCACAGAAAATGCACAAGCTTTCTGGCCCAGGGACACTTCCAGGGGGCGTGCTATGTGCTATGACACTGAAATGACACCTCCTCAGGTCATGAGTGATTAAGTCAACAGTCAGAGAGAGGGACGGCTCTGTGTCACAGAGCAAGTCAAATGGAAAACAGGAGAAGAGCTCCCATCTCTGGCCTTGCTCCTTCCCAGCACTGTGCTCTGCTCAGCCTGGGGGACCACAGCCTGGACTGTGTTTGCCTCAGTGTGTGATTACTCTGAAATACAAGATGTCTAGACACAAGCATCTATGTGTCATGGTACATCCTTCCAGGCTTTTCTCTAAGCACAAGTAACAGCAGATTTCTGGTTATACAAAACGTAAACTTGTGATTTATGCATTATTTTTGTTCAATTGTTTAGAAGCATCAAATCCTCCCAAACTCTCCTGCTATGGTTTAGGGTTGTCTAACATTCTCTGCCCACATATTCCCTAAGTTCTGGGTTCTTAAAATGGGTGGCATGACCCACACGGGGTTGTACAACTAAATGTCACCAAAAATTGGCAATGTAGAAGGGTTCTGAATGTTCGAGTACCTCAAATTAACTCAGAATCAAACAGGTAATGAAAATGAGGCATTCCTGGTAGCACTCACTGTGTGTGTGACTTCATGCAAAAACACATACACACATCTACTCATCAGTATGCAAGTTTGCGTTCGTCTTTAGTAAATGGCAAACATATATACATAAAAGAATTGTTTAAAATAAATTTCTATTACTTATCAGTAAATGTTTGACTTGTATACCTATTTGAATTTATATTTATGCATATCTGTACGTTCGTGCACACATTGGAGAGGGGTTATTGCAGAGGCCAGAAGAGGGCACCAGATCCCCCAGAACTGGAGTTACAGGCATTTGTGAGCCCCCTGATGTGGGTGCTGGGAACTGAACCTCAGTCCTCTGGAAGAGGGGTATGTGCTCTTAACCACTCTCCATCTCTCCAGCCCCTACTCATCTATTTGATGTGGTGGCATACCAGGGCTGTGGGGAAATGTCTTAAGAGACAGGTGTGAGGAGTGACTTGAGAAGTCCTGGCTTAAGCGAGACCATGCAGGCTCCATCTCACTGGGCACCGAGGCTACTTCTGATTCTGCCAGCTGCAAACATCACTGAGATGGAGGCAGCTGTGCACAGTTGCTTGGCTGCTGCTGACCCCTTCTTCAAACTGTGCTGTGGGCTGAACAGGCACTGTCTCCACAGGCTCATGTGCTTGAACTCATCATCCCAGCCAATGGCACGGCCACAGAAGGTTGTTGAACCTTCAGAAAGTGTAGCCTCCCTGGAGGAAGCATATCACTGGGGTATGCCTGGTGGTAGCACACACTTGATAAGTTGACCCCACTCCTTGATTACTCTCTGCTTCCTGAGTGCAAACACAACCTGACCAGCTGCCCCGTGTCCCTGCCGCCTGCCATGTCTGTTCCACCACGCTGGGATCATACCCCCCAAGTCATGAGACAAAATAAGCTTTCCTTCCCTTACACTGCTTCCTGCCACGTATTTGTTCACAGCAATGAGAACAGCAAACATCTGTTCATGGAGGTCCGTGATCACATAGTAAGTATAGGCACTCTTATGGCATTTAGTACTCACTGACTGACAGCCCTCCCCAAAGGCTTAGGTCTACAAAGGCCCAAATGCTGCAGAGCAGCAGCTCCTTTAATAGTTGCATGTACTGACTACTTCCTTCTGCTTTGTATGTGCATGTGTGTGTGTGCATGTGTGCACTTTGCCTCATAAATGCTAGGCAAGTAGTTTATCACTTGACTTTTGGCCCAGTTTTTTTTAAGAGTTTGTGTGTGTGTGTGTGTGTGTGTGTGTGTGTGTGTGTGTGTGTAAATGCTAGAACATGTGTGTACAGGAGCCCTCAGAAGAAGGCACTGGATTCTCGGAAGATGGAGTTACAGGCAGTTGTGATCTACTACTCCCTGTGGGTGCTGGGAACCAAACCCTGGTCCTCTACAAGAGCAACAAGGGTTCTTGACCCCCTTGACTTTATTTTTTAACGCCCCTATTTGCTTAATAGTAAACACCAAACCTGTGAAGACACAGTCCTACAGAGGTGCAAGCTGGGGTCTTTCTCCAGCAACAAAAACATTTCCACAGCTATTGCCAGGGGTTACTCTATGTGCACTGCAGGACAGGGAGGACTATAGGGCAGGGAGGATTGCAGGACAGGGAAGACTGTTGGGCAGGGTAGCAATCCCCATCATCTCAGCACCTCGCCTCCCAGATGACTACACAGTGACTGACTTTCCATGTTTATGCATAAGCCTCTCTCAGTGGCCCTCCAGGCCAGGTGATGGCCATCTGCCTGTCTTCTGATGTCGCTGTTTAGAAGCCAGGACTGCTGTTGCTTGCTCCTGTGTCTGTCTCCCCTCCAAGCTCCTGAAGAGCTGGTCCACACCCAGATCACACCCACAGCCCTCCCCTGCCCCACAATCCCAGGGCATAGTGCTATGCCTGGGCCATGGCAGGAGCCCAGTGAACGTTCACAGAGAAGCAAGCCAACACTCCAGCAGGCGATTGGCACTTTACTTCCTGTCCTCCTCAGATTCTTTCAACAGCAGGAGCCCTTAGCCCAAACTCCTCCCATTCTTCTGGGGACTTAGCTTTTAAGCAACCTACTCTGCAAGTTGTCACCTCTCTGAGTTTGGGCTTAGGGACAGGGCACTAGTGCCTCCTGGCTGCTTTACAACATGCTTGAGAGCAAGTGCTTTGTGGCAAGAAGCAATTGAAATGTCTTCTTATACCGGCCGTCCTGTGACTCACAGCACAGCTCCCAGAGTCCATCAGATGTAGTGAGCAGAGGGCCACCTTGGGGATGGGGCTGTGCTCCCTTCAAACCTGGCTTCTCCCACCTGCTGGAGCATGTGACTTCCCCCACCTGCCTCAGTCCCCTCACCTGTAAAGTGAGCACTAATAACTCCACCCCCTCACAAGCTGGCTGCTGGGTACGCACAGCTGGGGGCAAATGGCAGCTGTAATGGCAGCTGTGTGAAGCTGCTGCACACTTCCCTGCACATGCTCAGTCCATACCTCTTGTTTCCCAACCTCTGTCCCTTATAGCAATACAGCCACCTGGAGACAGTCCCTATGGCTGAGGCAAGCGGCTTCTCCTGGTCATTTCCTCACTGAGCGGCTCGTCACAGTCTGTGAGTGTTAGTCCCATCTCACAACAGGGATGCTGAGGCACAGAAATTTAGTAACCAGCCCAATACTATCCTAGCCAGTCTGGATCGCTGCTGTCCCCTAAATGGGATCCCCCTTGAAGTTCCCTACAGGAGTACCACCCCTGGCAGCACACAACTCCTCCTACTGAGCAGTGTTGCATGACTCATGGATTCTAGCAGCATCCTCTGATTTTTCCTCTGCTTCGCACATGGGGACCACCGCTTATATAGACAACTTAGGGAGCCCTTCAGTAGATAGCTTTTGACTTTGATGGTCAAAGCCATATGTGAGATGCAGCTCTTTGGGGTGCAGGGCCTTCTGAAGAGAGTGCTTGCTACACTGAGGTCCTGAATGCTTGTGATTGGTGAGGGCTTTCCAGCTGAGGTCATAGATCCTACCTGAGTCAGCCACTGAAGAGCCCACAGCCCCAAAGAGCTACTGACTCTTGCCCCTGATCCAGAGGGAAGGACAGCAGAGGGAGGCACAATTCCCTGCTGGTCTTGATGCTGCCTTGGTGTCTGTGACCAAATCACTCGCCCTTCCTGGGCGGTACCCAGGGATTAAAGGAGAGAACAGGAGATGCACAAATAGGAGCAAGACTCTGCCAAGCATCTAGGAACCCACTCTTCTCAGAGGAGTGCTCTGAAGGAACATCCCAGCATGGGGGATGATGGCAAGATGGGAGAATAAAGCCTCAGGCCAACTGCCTAAATGTAAGCACATCTATGGCAATCACAGAAAGGATGCTAAATGACAAGTTCCATGTACACATCATTTATTCTCAAAATTACAAGGACACAATGGTAAGTGTACACTTTGTTTTCCTCCTAATGGCTGAACACGAAGTGCTCAGAAGGGGCAGGTGGGAGATCAAGCAGTGGAAAAGAACCCAGGCACTACAGTGAGCTGGCCCAGGCAAGAGACAGCCAGGCCATTATCCAGGGAACTTGAGAGATCCATATTCCAATTAAAAGATATATTTGCACTTTTGAATGAGCAACTCCCATTGGTTTGTATTGTCTATTTTGGTTATGCTTTGTGTTTGGGGTATGGTCTGCCACTGCCCAGGTTGGCCTTGAACTTTCTATATAGCTCAAACTCCTGACCCTCTTGCCTCTTATCTCCCAAATAGCCCCTCTTCTTTAAAGGAACTACGCTCACTATGGTTTTAGGGACACAGGGCTAATGCAGCCCAAGCTACCTACCCTGGCACCAACTTCCAGGTCTGTCTCTCAACAACTCTGTGACAACAGCTAAGATACTCCTGCCCAGAGCCTCAGCTTCCTCTCTGGAGCAAGGATGCTGAGAGCAGCTGCCCCTACCTCCACAAGCTTTGAAAGGAAACTTTGAAATACATCTGGCACGGGAAGACATTAAATGCACATGTTCACTTGTCAGTCATGTAAGGAGGAAATAAATGTCCAGTCTTCTTGCCCCAGCTTAAGAAACACACCCATGTTTAAAGAGCTAGTAATGAAGAGACCCAGAAAAAGCCCGACCCCTGGCCCTTTCTCCTATGCAGTCCTGGGGCCCCTGTGTGCTGCTTCGAAGAATGGAGGCTGCAAAGGCCAGTGGATGCTGGACCTGCCCTGGGAAGTTCACAGCCCAAGAGGGGGAGGAGTGAGTGCCCTGGGGGAGGGGCTGGGTCAGAGGAGACCTACACAGTGGGCTGAGGACCTGTCTCTCACGTGGCTTGCACACTTGGGAGTCCACTCAGTGGACTCCTCAGAGCAGAGGGACAAACCGTGGAGGATGTGAGGGGCCACTGGCTACCTGACAATCAGCTGGATGAGTGGACAAATGAGGAGGAAATAAGTGAATGGGACACCAGGGAGCACAGGTGACAATGGACAGATGGCTGCGAGGCCCAAATGTTTGCGCTGCTCACACATTCATAAGGTGAAATCTAATCAACAAGTTGATAACATGAGGAGGTGATTAAGTAGGGACTGCCGCCTCACGGCGGGCCTGCCCTGGGAAGGTCACAGCCTGGCAGGGGAGGAAGTTGTTCACAGCATGGAATGACCATGCAGCCTTCTAATTAAAGAGGCACAGGTCCCTCCCACCAGGTGAGGACTCAGCAGGTACAAGGCACCATCTACAAACCAGGTCTCTGACACTGAGGCTGTGGGTGCCTTGGATTAGGTGTGAAAGGCTAGACTAAGGTGTGGGTGCCCTGGTTATTTCCCTTGCCACTGTGACAAAATTCCTGGACAAAGCAACCTAAAGGACGAAGGGTTTACCCTGTCTCTTCATGTAGAGGCTACAATGATGGCGAAGACGGCACAGAGCTGGGAGCAGCTGGGGAAGGAGTTTGGGTTCTGCTTCCTCTCAACTCAGAAAGTTCCTGCAGGTGGAAGCCTTGAGCTAGAGCCCTAGCAACCCACTTTCCCCAGGCCCCACCTCCTAGCAGGTGTCTCCAAGCTTTCAACATCGTGACTCCGATATTTTTTCACTACCAAGTTCATGCTCCAGAACAGCATGACTGTTGTTTTTAAAAAATCTCATAGTGTTTTAAGTCTCGCCTTTTGTGTTGGGCCATATTCCTGGCTATCCCAGAGAGACTGCTTCAGATTGAACACACTTGTCAGACTTAAGTGAGGTTCTACAACCTCCCTAAGCGGGGCCAGTAGCTGGGGACCAATGGCACAAACATATGAATGAGCCTGTCTGGGAGGAGAGCCATTGCACACTCAAACTCTTAACGGTGGGTGAGGGAAAGAACGAACAACAGGAGTTGGCTGTGGGGTATGGTACTCAGCTGGACATGGGAGTCTGCAAGTGCGTGGACAAGTGGGTAGACATCAAATGGCTGTCACATGAGTAGATGGCCATATGGGTAGGGAGTGATCATATAACAGTGATGACCACGTGTGTATGGATGGTGCGAAAAGAGACTGAGTTTGGTGAAGGATAGACTGGCCTCTCGTTCACAAAAATAATGAGGGACGCTGGGAAACAACTTTGATCAAGTGGCTAGACAGGAGTCAGGGGAGGGCAAGCAGTCATTCCTGTCCTGGGTTCCGGCCACTTACCGGGCTACTGTGCCCCAGCTGGGCCCGCAGGTGCATATTTTGGTGGGTGAGCTCCTCCACCTGGCTGTGCAGGCCTATCTCCGATAGCGTCAGCCCATATACGCAGCAGCGCAGTTCCTCCAGCTGCTCCCGCAGCTGCCGCTCGGTGACGCTGTGCAGCTGCAGCCTGCGCACCGCCTCCGCCCACTCCCGCTCCGCACGCTCCGCCCTGCTCCGCAGTGCGCTGAGCTCTGTGGCCTCTGGGGCGCCTAGGGGACCGGCCGGGGGCTGCCACCCGGGTCTGCCCGCACTGGGCAACTGGTCTGCGGCACGTAGTTGTGCCAGCAGGAAGCCCGCGGCGCGACCCAGACGCCGCACGTCGCGCTCCAGCCGCTGCACCTGTGCCCGCAGAACGCTCTCCTGCTCCTGCACCAGGCCCAGCTGCAGCCGCTGCGCCTGCCCACAGCGCTCCAGAGCTGCCGCTTGCTGTGCTAGCGCCTCGTCCTTGTGCCTCAGCCGCTCCTGCAGCCGCTGCTGCCGTCTTGCGGCGCTCTCCGCCTCCCGCACCTAGGAGTTGTGGTGATGGGGATGTCAGGGCCCCCCCTCCCCCCCCCCCGCACAAGCCTTGCTCGCCTTGATTTCTCTCCCTAGCATTCCAGTATTTTGTGCATAATGTGTATTTTGCATTAAAACGATCCCCTGGGACCAAAGATGACTCAGAAGCAAGTCACTTGCCACCAAGCATGAAGACCCAAGTTGGGTCCCCTAGGACCCATATATAGTGGAAGAGGTGAACCAGTCCCACAAGCTGGATTCGACTGTGGCACATGTATGCGCACGTACAAAATAAAAAAATTTTTAAAGTTATGCTGACTACTGAGTTTGCTGGCACTGCAGCCAAGAGGCACCTTCACCTCACCATAGTCTGAGCCCAGGAGCTCCATGAGTTCCTGGAGTCAGTGTGTGTGCAGTGGGTTGGAAGGCCAGTACCCCCTACAGAGGGTCTCTGGAATTGTTCAGTGGGAACAGACCACACCAATTTCCAAACTCCACAGAATTTTCCAGAACTTCTCATTTCAGCGATGTGAGCTGGGCAGGGGTCGGGAAGCCACAGCAGCTGTTCACAACTGTGAATGCCTCCCCCCACCTCCAAATAAAGCTGTCATCAGCCCCCACCACACACTCGGGAGTTACCTTTATAATGGGATGGCTAAAATTCTTGCAGCCAGGTCAGGGGCACAGCATGGTGGCCTTGTGTCTGACTCAAGGGCTTCTCTCTCTCTGTCCCTCCGCGGAACACTTCTCCATACTTGGACACCCCACCTTCTCCCTACCACAGACAATAAACTAGCCTGGGGTGCCACACCACCCTGAAAAAGCAGAAGTCTTCCATGTTCACACTCTGTCTAGGCAAACACTGCCTGTGAAAAGCTTTCTGTCACCAGCTACCTGCTGCCAGAAAGCCTGCATGTGAGAGAAACAGACCGCAAAGAGGCAAGAAAGCACAAGGCCGCCTCCGCCTGGCTCTGTGCAGCATTGGCAGGGTGTGGAGTGTGCGAATAAAACCTGGTTGCATTTTCTGGATGGAAACTTCTCCAGGCCTTAAGATGGTGTGAATTCTGAACTGTGGTTTTGGGTGCCTGGGGATCCATGGCATGAGTGGGCGGGCCTTTGCAACCTCTCGGGATGACCTTGAGGCCTTTGCTTCCCGGGAATTTGACCAAAGCAAAATTGCTAACTTTGACAGATCAGACACAAAAGATGCCAAAAGCCTGTTCACACATCCCTCCAATACTGACTCCCGCATGTCAAAATGTTTTTGGTTGGGGTCTGGGCTGCAGCTGGGCCAAATGTGACCCTGACCAAGCCACTGAATCTGTGAAGAGGCTTCTTGGCAGGTCTCCCTGAGTGCATTCGTGTTACTCATGACAGCGATAACAACAGGGAAGCATGGGGAAAGGGTATATAGCTCCCCGGCCTCCCCCAAACCCCTCACTCCACAATACAATTAGCTTAGCTTACATGGCACCCTTACCCTTCATCTTCAACCACACTATAAGCATCTCCTGCAGGACTGTCCCCAACTTCTCTGGGGAATCCTAGGTGTGTCAAGAGCAAGACTCAAAAACCCTTACAGTGCCCCCTCAGAGAAACTCCATGACCCTAATGCAGAGCCACAGCCTGTCCCTTGCTATGCAGTCACCCCTGGGGTTGAGAGGCTAAAGGCATGTGAGCCAAGGACCCAATTTAGCCTGCGTCTGCCTCCAGTGGTTAGAGGGACAGGAAGAGTGATAACCCTGGCACTCAAGGACTGAGTTGAGCCGAGTCTGACTCCTTCCCTACCCACTTTAGTGTCAGTGAATAGCATGCCACGTACCCTGGCGGCCCCGCGACTGCCCATTATCAGAGACACACGGGGCCAGCACATAAGGCATGCACGTACACAAAGGCACAGGTGAACAGGATTCGAGAAACAACACTCCCTGTAGTGCATGTGCCACCTGTTCGTACTGAGCTCCCGTCCCATGAACGGGCTGCACCCTGCAATCTCAAAACCCCGAAGCTGTGCTTTAACGCGAAATCCCTGAAGCCAGTGACCAGGCATCACAGCATACCTAAGCAGCACACAGCAGAGGTCCAAACCCAATCTGCTGTTTCTTTCTCTATGTTCTCTGAATCATCTCCCTAGCTGGAAGGTTTCTTATGACGGATAAGATGCAGCATGGCAGAGGCAGCTGTCATTATTGAGATGCCCACCTCTCTGATCATTCTACACACATCTTCTCATTTAACCCATATGACCACCTGAGGGGTGGGTACCACATCATTCCCATTTTCCATATGAGGGGACTGAGATCTGTCGAGGCTGTGTCGCTTGTCCAATGTCACAGCCAATTCAGCAGTAGAACAAGGGTTTTCCTCCCAAACATGCCCCCTAACTAGCCAATGCTTCTTGATAGAGGTCTCTATTGTGCTCTGTCCCCACACTCCCCCAAGGCCTCAGCTGTCTTCCTTGGCCACCTAGCGCCAGCTCCTCTCCTGCAATGCCCCTTCCGGCATCCCTCCCAGCTGTGCGTCCCAGCCTTTCCCGCCCTGCACACACCTCTTTCCCTGGCCCTCCACAGCAGTACATTGGTCCCCTTCCTTCTCACAGTTCAAATTCCCTTCCCAGCGAGGTCTGGGAAGGTCTGGCCTCCAGTTCTCTGAAGCATCTCTGCCCCATCACATCCACAATGTGTCCAAGTCCCTCCTCCACCCAAGACCAGGTTCTTATGTTCCCTCTGTTCCCAGATGCATGCAGCAGTTTGAAGAGAGACCTACACTGGCCACCTCCTGTCCTCGGGGGAGGAGGGAACCCAGGCATGAGAAAGGTACCAAATGCTGACACCCATGCTTCCCCAGGAGGCCTTGGGAGGGAGGGAGGGAGGGAGAGGTCAGACGGAGAGGCTGAGGCACGGGGTGACCAATGACCAGGCACTGGGAAGTAGAAGGGACACGAACCCGGATGACCAGTTCCCCCTGCAGTGCCTGTAGCTGCTCCTGGGCGCTGAGTGAGGCGCTTCTTTCCTGGGCCACACAAGCACTCAGCTGTTCTACCTCCAGGAGAAGCTTCTTCTCCGACAGCTCCAGCTCCTGGACCCTGCAGAACCAGAAACAAGAGACACTTGCTCAGGGCAGGAAGTGTGTAAACCCCATCACCACCACCATCCCAGTCATCTGGACCAGCTACTGATCTAAGAGTTTCATTGTAAACACTCACATAAGACATCAACTCAGGCTCTCTCTCTCTCTGTTGCCGAGACTGGCCTCCAACTCAGCCATTCTTTTTCTTCCTCCCCAGTGGTTGGAAGACAGGAGTGAGCCACCATCCCTGCCATACGTCTCTTACCGGAAAGTCTCTGCTCTACCTCAAAGACATCACTTCCAGGGCTTGGAAAAGGGCTCATTGGTAAGAGCACTTGTTTGGTGAGCATGAGGACCCGAGTTCAAGTCCCCAGCACCCACATAAAGGGTAACTCCAGCACTGTGGACAGAAACAGGCAGACCTTGGGTGCTCACTGGTTGGCCTGCCTAGCATCCATGCATGCAGATGGGTATTACATGGATATGCATACTACATATATGTGTATGCCATACACCAATGTTGTTTGCCACAGATTTCAACCTTACATGTTTCTCAGCCCTAAGTTAGCAGCCCTCATCCATGAAGACCAAGAGACACTGAGTGGAGGCCGGCCAGCCAATAGCTTTCTCTGTACTATGGGACTAATGCTCACGACTTAACCAGCTTCCAGGTAATGTACTTCACCCGGGAGATGAGGTGGATCATTTTCCCTGGGCCACACAGAACTGTGGATCCCTGGCTGACTTTTAACCTTACTCACTGTTGCCTCCTATTCTGGCTCCAAACCTACGAATGTCTTCTAAGGAAATGACTGGCAGCATATCTGTGTGGCGTGCACTTCTACCTGAGACACTGGGAGCAGCTGAGCCATGCAGAGCTCTGTGCTACGTCATGAAGAAACTGTGCCTAGCTGGGAGGGGACAAACCTGACTGCAAATAGAAGAGGTGACATAAGCAGGATGCTGGTGACACTTGAAGGGAAAGTCAGAGCAAAGCTGCCACCAGAGGTGAACAAGAGGTTTCTGTCTCCAGTACAGTGCTGGCCCTGCCTCCATGCTAGGTAACATTGGCCTGAGATATCCCTCCCTGCCTCCATGCTAGGTAACATTAGCCTGAGATATCCCTCCATCTCCCATTCTGCATTTGCTTTCTCCTTCACCCAAGACCACCTGTGATCTTCTCCTCCATCTCAGACCCTGTTCCACAGGGAGGGACAGGCTCTGCTTCCTACCCCTGTCTTCCTACCACTGTGGGGGCCTGACTGGGTTAGTTTATCACTCTGGGCTCAGATTTTCATCTGTAAGATATAGGCTAGCAGGGTTTTGTTGAGAGTAAAGAGAATGGTGTCTTATAATTCAAAACACAACTCAGGGCTCCTCTCCTTGGGGAGGACCCCCTGGCCCACTTGAGTAAGTCCTCTCAAGCCAATCAGTGGGGAGGTGAAATTGGAACCTTCTCACTGTTTTTGAGATGCACAGAGAGCCAAAAAGGAGAAAGTACGGCATTCTCTTCATTTTGGGCAGAAACCTGTGTTCTGAGCTCAGGGGACAGTCTGCTTCTGACACAAGCAAGAACAAATGGCCAGTGCCGGAGCAGAACTGTGGCTCCAGATACTCCCAGATCCTGATCCTGGGAGGAAGGACACCACCCTTCACAGGCACAGGCACAGAAGCTGCCAGAGAAGATGGGTCCTGGAGCATCATGCGGCCTCTAGGTGGTCAGGAGGCAGCTTCGGTGGAGCTGGCTGTAGGGAAGAAGGCTGCACACCACACTCACTGCAGCTCAGAGACGGGCTGGGAGCCAAGGAGGGGTGCTCGGCTCAGGGTCAAGGGTCAGTCCCTTGAGTGATTCCCAAGGGTGTCTAGAGTGGGTGTGACCCTACTGACAACTTGAGCTAAGCCTGAATCCTAACTTCCAGCCTCCAGGGCTGTTTGTTAATCAACTGATTGTCTGTTTTGTTTTGTTTTGTTTTGTTTTGTTTTGTTTTAGAAACACTTTGTGAGTACAATTGTCCATATCAGTGGAGGCCAAAGGCAGACATAATGTGTCTTCTTCAACCACCCTCCATTTTTTATTTATTTTGAGATAGGGCCTCTAACTGAGCCTGGAACTTACCTGTTGTAGGCTGGCCAGTGATGGGAGATGTCATTCTGTAAATATGTTTCTCTTATTGGTTAATGAATAAAGCCCTGTTGGCCAATAGGAAAGCAAGAGAGGCGGGACTAGGAGGCAAGCAGGATTGGGGAGAGGTAGGTCAACATGTAGGTCAGAGAGAACAGAGGTCCGGACCCTCTCTCCAGTAAGCCAAGACCATGTGGAATACTTAGATTAATAGAGATGGGTTAGGAGGGAGGGAGAGGGAACTGGGATAGATTTGTAAAATTAAAAAAAAATAATGAATTAACAAAAAATGGAAATGCGTTAATATTTAAGACAGAGCTGCCAATAAGAAATGCTAATAACAGGCTAACAGCTTTATATCTAATACAGCGTCTCTGTGTGTTAATTGGGGCTGGCACAGCTGTGGGACCAGGCTGGTGGGAAAACTGCTCATAACAGGCCAGTGAGCTCCACTGATCCCTCATCTTTGGCTCTCCACATGATAATTATAGGTGTGTACCACCCCTGGCTTTTACTTGGGTGTGGGGGATCCAAACTCAGGTCCTAATGTTTGTACAGCGGGACCTTTAGAGACTGAGCCACCTCTTTTAGTCCCATCTCTGTAGGCTGTTTTAACTCACCAAGTTTCATGGCTGTATGCCTATAATCTTGGCACTCAGGAGGGAGAGGATCAAGAGTTCAAGACCATCCATGGCTACATAGCCAGTCTGAGGCCAGCATAGGCCATGGGAAATCCTGTCTCCAATCCTACCACCACTACTCCAAAGAAAAGCTACCAAGTGTGTGCCGTTTGTCACAGCAGCCACAGGAAACCCACACACTCAGGACCACGAAATAGGCAAGGAGTGTTCGTTCTTCTATTGCTCAACTAATCATGCGAGGCTTGGAAAAACAGTGCCACAGAGAACACTGTGAATCCAAGAGGCTCTGCCATGAACGTGTGGACCCACAGTAGCCACAGATTAGACTTCTGGGCACCTAGAATCAAATCCTACTTCCCTTAGGGACAGACAGGCGCAGTTACAAAACAGCTCAGATCTTGGTGTCTCCGTCATAAAACAGCATGTTCTCGTCCTATTTTCCAGTTTTAAGGGTTAACCGTGTAACACCTGCTGATCAGCTAAGGTGACTCAGAGCAAGAGTGTGGCAAGCTCTCAGTGAGACTTTGCTGCCTTCAGAATGGCTTTGAAGCACAATCCAGTGAGATGGGAGTGGGCTCTTTCTCCCCGCCCCAATTTTCTAACAAATTTAGCTGTGTTATTTTTATGTTTCATCTATTTCTTTTCATTGGACAACTAACATCATTGTATGAGATAAGATCTGACTCTGCAGCCCAGGCTGTGACTCACAACCCTCTTTTTGCCCTGGGCTCCTAAATCCTGGGATTCCAGCATGAGCCTCCACACCCAGCTCTGTATTATTTCCATAATTTAAAAAAATATATATTGGCATGTTATCACTTCTTACTTTAGATTTTCTATCTTATTCTAATTTTGTGGAGACCTGGTAAAAACTCAAATGACATTCCCCCGACCCATTACCTTGTTTTCTACTTATTTATTGTGTTGTCAGAGGAGCAGTGTGTGTGTCGAGGTCAGATGACAACTCTGTGGGAGTTGGTTCTGTCCTTCAACCATGCAGGTCCCAGCAATTGAACCCATATCATCAGGCCTGGCAGCAAACACCTTAAGCCATCTCAGCCACCCTGCATGCTAGCCCTGTGGCTGCGGCAAGTCCGGTGTACACTCCGAGCCACTCACTGTTTTCTGGTGGACCAGACCTACCAGGAAGTCAGATGAAACCCTGCATTCTCAGTGAGCCCTTCAGACCGGACTTGTGCTCTTCGCACGCCCTGACCCTATAGTTTGTAGGTCAGCCTCAGTTCCCCCATCTGGAAAAGCAGCTACTAACACTCTGCACATCCCAGGACTCAAGGGAGTCAAAGCGAGGCCAGAGCGGAAGGCAGAGTGGTCCCCTTTCCCCTCCAGCCCTGCCACGGATCCTACCTCCTCTCCCGCAAGACGTGCATCACATCTTCAAAGAGAACAGTGGGGCCGGGCCTCCCCATGGGTCCGAATCAATGAGTAGACCCACAACACAGACTGAAACCCACTGTGAAACAAAATGAACCTGTGTTCCTGTCATTGATTATTTCGACACAGTGACAGGGAACTCAGGGACACACCCTCTCCCTCCCTAGCTATCCTGAGGGGAACGGCATTCCTTTAACACATCCTTCACGGTGTTCCCACTTGTCATAGGCCTATAGCAATAAAGCGAGCCGGCCATGGGAACCTCTAAGACAGTGGGTCAAGGTAAGTCCTTCCTCTGCAGGGGAAGGGAGGAAGCGAAGGAGAAGTAAACCACTGAGAGGGCTGGGGTGTGGCACAGTGTTGTTCTAGGACATGCAAGGTCCTAGCAGCCCCCAGCATCCATCCCCAGCGCCATTAAGAAAAGGAAGACAGTAAAAGAAAAAGAAAGAAAAGGAAGACAGGAAGAGGAGAGGGGAGTGGAGGAGAGGAAAATGAGGGGCGGGTGGGAGAAAAGGGAGGGGAGGTGCCATCAGGAAAAAGTCGGAAGATGCAATTTGAAAAAGACCCAGATTCCAATGGCCATTCGGGGACTATGTTAGCTCTACCAGGCCACAGGATCCACTCTAGAGTCTCAGAAGAGAGAAACAACCGCTTGGTACCATGCACCAAGATGACAGAGGAGCTGGGAGGCCAGACAGAGGCCAGATAGCTGGTTCAGCAACTCTGAAGCCACTTCTGATCCTGGAGCTAGGGTTTGGACCAAGCCATGCAGCGAGAGTTGGGTCAGCAAAGAAGAGAGGCACCCATCATCTGGGCACAGCCACAACAGAATGGAGGTAAGGGAAGATGTCTGGCCTCTCAGTTTCTCACCGACTACCAGCGCTTCCCATTGACTGGACCCAAGGGATGGTGATCCGTCACAGAACAGGACCATGACAGACAGAAGTGAGGGCAAATGACCAACCAAGGATGTGTCTGTACCTCTGGTGAAACCCAAGACCTCAGCTAGAGACAGGATGCAAAGGGCCGTGGTGTCAAGGGAATTAATTCACCAATTCCCCCTTCTCCCCACACAAGAGTGCTCACAAGGTTAAACCCACCTGCTCCTCAGCCCTGACTCCGACGTCACGTGTTTGTCCACAGCTGCCAACAGCTTCCGCTCTGAGGATTCTAGCTGCTCCCTGAGCAGCCCCGTGTCCAAGTCTGGGCTGCTGGCTGCTTCGGAAAGGCATCCCTGCTCCTGGTCGCTCTCCTCCACATCTCGGAACACCCAGCACGTGTCGATCTTCACGTCTACATTCATCATGTCAAAGCCATCGCTGCTGGGAGCCCTGATGATGTAGCTGAAGCTTTTCTGGGTCTGCTGCTGGGCTGTGGGCTCCATCCCAGAAACAGTTCGTTGGCCCAGACTTAAGAAAAATTGAATGAGTCTGCAATGTGGATTTTCTGGAAATTTCCAGGTGGCTACCATGCCTTTCAATTGTCAGGGGAAATGTCCTTTGAAGAGAACAAGGACAGGTGGATTATTCATGAGTTGGTAGCTTGGGTTTCATCCACACAAACGTCATGCAATACGTACGAGCATCTCGTTTTACAGGTTGGCATGCTAGAACACACCAAAGTGAGAATAAGGCTCAGACCTGGAATTAAATGCTTAGCAATGCATACAAAGTGGAAAAGGAGGGTTTCCAGGGGGTACACATCAGTCACAGGTTCTCCAAAGCAAGCAAAAAACATGCTAGCCATAATGAATGACATTCTATGCCACTGTTTGAGTATAGTGCATACTTACCAAGGACCTACAATCTGGCAGGCAAAGAATATGGGAAATTGATGCCATATTGAGAGGTCTCTCACACCTACCTAGGCCAGTTGTCCTGGCGGCCCTATGAGGTAGGCATCATCATGACCATTTTAGAGATGGTAAAATGGAGACCTCAGAAGGTGGAAGAGCTTGTCCAAGCCCTACAGATGGGAAGGAACAGCCAGGTCTGACTCCTCATCTGAGAGAGCATGTGCTAGCCTGGGAGCTGTGAGATCAAGTGTGGAAGGAAACTGGCTTCCAGGCAGCAGACAAGCCCCTGGGAGTCCAGGGTTGGGAAGGGATCCAGAGCGGGAAAGAAGCAGGAACACCAGGGAGTGGCAGGCAGGCATAGGCAGAGATCCCTGGAGTGGAGGCCTTGGGTCATAGTCAATAGGGCAGAAATGACTGACCACGTGGTGTACAGAAGGGGTCATGCTCACACAGATGCTCAGGTTTCTTGGGCATCTCACTGTGAGCACAGGGCAGTCATGGTCATTAAGGGACAAGGAGGTGACTGGTCCAAGGGGACATCGAAGGGTTTTATAGAGGAAAAGAGCTGAGGCCACCAACCACACCAGAGGCCATGACTAGGCAGAGAGGTAAAGGGACAGAAATATGAAAATAAGAGGCTTTGCTTCCCCAGAAAACAAGGAGAGGGGTCTCTACTCTCATTTCTTAATGTGTTTTGCTCAGAGCACTCAACTGTGTTCATCTCTGAAGCAGTGTCCCTGGGAACCCAAAGGAAACCATATCCGCCCCACCTCCAACATAGCTGTGCATTCAATCCCTTGCCATTTCCAAGCTTTCTCATACAATCGCCTCTTGTGATTTATTTTAACCCTTTGTATAAATCCACTTAATGAAGCCAGGTGGTTGCCTAGCTAGTGGGCGAACTTGGGGTGAGCCATTCTTGGAAAGGAGCAGCTATGGTCTAGGTGCCCAATGGGGCTTGGCTGGAAACCACATGTACCCTGTCCTGAGCATCCTGTCTGCTCCCCTCTGGGTCTTTTAGGACACATCTCACACTGGCTTCATGCTTTCCAACAATGAACCCAGTGGCTGCCTTTTCTACCTTTGCAAAGAGGCCCTCTGAGTTTCCAGTAGCGGATGTCTGGGGGTGGGGTGGGGGCAGGGGGAGCGGTGAAGGTTGTAGCAGAGTGGGACAGACAAGCAGAATTGGCAATGTGGAACACTGGCCTTAAGGGACAGGAAGATCAGCTCAAATCCCGGTGCTGGGCCTGAGTCCTCAGGTTGTTTGAATCATGCCTCGGGTATGAATCTGGACAAAGTACTGCGCATCTCATAAAAGGATCTCCAGGAACTGTGTAAGTACAGGCATCTGCATCCAGTGAGGGAGGACATGAGTGGATTCACACAGTCCGCTCAGAGAGCCCAGCGCATCCTCAAGGCTAAATACTGGCTGGATGTGACAGGTACAGCAACGCTTCCCGGCCCACACTCTCAGCTGTCTGAGCTGTGAAAAGCCTTGTTGCTTAGCTGCTGCAGGCTACTGGGCAAGAGGCCAACATCTTGCAAAATGACACCCTCACCATGGGGAGGGTTCCCCCAAGAACCTGGCATGTGAGCCCCAGAAATACTGGCCACAAGATGCCACCTGCAGTGGGAAGATGGCTGCTAGCTGAGGGCAGCAGAGACCAAGAGATAGGTTCCTAAGAAACAGCCCTCCTTGCCCACAACAGGCACCTGACAGCTAGCTCTTCTTGATGAGTCACTAAGACTTAAGGGGAGAAGATGGTGGAGCTGGGAAGATCGAAAGAGAGATGGCTGCTGGGTAGAGGGCTAGGCTTGTGGCCCTGTTTTTCCTTGAGGGAAAGGCCTCAAGAGTGTGGCTGTAAGGACAGGGCCCAAAGCCTTAGGAGACATGATGGAGCAATGGCCACAGAAAGGCCACAGGGTGTGACTGGAGCACCCATCTTAAAACCTCAGCCCTGAGGTGAAGGGAATGGGGGCAGGCTCAGCCCTGGAGACCCAGCTCCTTTTACCTCAGTAGAGCTCTGGAAACATAGGCTGGGGTCTGTAGAAACACCTATGAGTTTTTAGACAATTTAATAGAGGAAGAAGACAGCAAAGTATTGGTTTGGGGTTTGCTGCTCCATAATGGGAGTCCCTTAACAAGCTGAAATTAAATGAGAATAAAAAAATGCAACCCGTTCTCATGGTGCTGTGAGTACTGAGGCAGAGGGACCCCTGGTGGAAACCTGGCTAGGGAATCCAAGAGAAACAGAGGCCATATAACCCTGACCTTTGGGAAGAAAGGCAAGGGGAAGCAGGCTAAAACTCTCTGGGCAACAAGGACTTGATCTAGGGCCCTCAAGCATCATAGTCCCTGCCTAGCCAGGGTAGGAAGCAACTGGGAGGGCCTCGGGCTGGGTGGCCCCATGTAGAGCTGAGCTGGGACACAGCACAGGGGTAGAGCGGGCTCTATACACTGTGCTCGGCAAGGGCACTTCAGTGAAAACTTCCCTGTGACCAGCGAGAGACACAAAGTGAAGAGGAACCAGTAGGGTCTTACAGAATTAGGGGCCCCCTGCACTCTAAAGCTGGAGTCCCCAGTCCTCAGCTCATCTGACCCCAGCTGGGGCCTCTCTGCTTAGCCCCCACAGACTGAAAGAATGGCAGAATAGCCCTGACTCCTCAGCTTCTCTGTCCTGCTCGAGATCGCGTGCCAGAAGCAGAACTTTGTATTTCAAGACTTCACAGGGAGGGCTATGGGCCTCATCCTCCTAGTGGGTTTGGGAGGAAGGCCATGGAAAATTCCACCTGCCTTCCTGTCTACAGAAGAATGTAGCATTGGCCTTGAAGACTGATTCCGTAGCTCTGCTCCTCTGGAAACCACACAAGTGTTAACCTGTGATGAGAGACCTAAGACTGTGCCTCACTGGACCCAGGGCTGGAAAAAGGACAAGTGTATCTGTGGTGCCATGCAGCTCTGGGGCTCCCTGAGCACTGCGGCTCTTAGCCAGACTTGTTCCTAATGGCGACTTAGGTAGCAATGCCTAAGCTAGTGACAAGGAATTCTTGTCCCTGCACACCTGCTTGTGTGAGCTCCATTCTCAGGCATGAGCGACTTCCTGGGAGGGAGTGGGTGGACACTGGCCCCAGCTGGAGGACCACCCCATGAGGGACTCAGGCGTTTGCTCCTGCCAGCCGCTGTTGGGACGCCAGAGGTCTTGTGGAATGATGTGCGTCCACCTGTCCAGCTGAGGTCACAGAAGCTCTTCCATAAGGCATGGGCTGGGATCTGTAAGTTGTGTTCCTCAGAGTCACAAGAACATGGTTTGTCTGCAGCAGGGACATGGCTGAGCTGTGAGAGCCCAGATGGGTCTGACTGCAGAGTTAAGGCCACCATCACAAAAAAAAAAAAAAAAAAGTGTTGCGTGAAAAAGCCAAGCAGACATGGAGGCTGCCCTCACCCTCACAGTAGGTAAGGACAGAAGATATAAGGGACTCTAGTCACATGGTTGCAGAGACAGAGTGGCCAACTTCTCCACGACTCTCTGAGATGCTCCAGGATACCTGACTACAGAAATCAGTTGAATAGTACCCCCCCCATCTCCTACCAGGGAAAGCAAGCACGCCTTCCACTTTCCTGACTGGTGCCCACATTCTCGCAACTCAATGACTCAGATGTCTCTGTTGCCAAACATAGGTTCATTGGAATTTAATTAAACCACTGAGTATTTTTAAGTTCTGGGGGCTGGGCTTGTGGGTCACAGATGTTTGGGGACTTGGGTTTCAGCAGAGAACCAACACTCCTGAGTCATCCTCGTGTGTTTGCTTCAAGCTTGAGACTTCGTGTGTGCTGGACCGACCTCCTACCTGGACAGCCCCCTTCTACGGAGAGCATTGTTCTCAATTCCCTGTCTTTGGATTCGGCTTCCCTATGATGCCAGGTCCTTGCTCCACAGTTCCCTCAATGGACCTGATCTGAACTCTGTTTGCTTCCAGGAAGCCATGGTGTCACTTACTTGGTCCAATAACTACACAGCAAGTGGGAGCATCGTCCAGCCTGCTGCCACCATGCCACATCTGGACTCATCACAAGCTCCCCACACAGACTCGCCATCATGTCCTTTTCACCCTGTCAATCTGATGGCTAATATTCTCCCTGCTCCAGGTTTGGGAAAGTATAGCAAGCCACACAGGCTGATATACCGTCTCGAGGTGACGCACTTCAACTGCTCTAGATTGACAGAAGCATCCCAGAGTTACGTCTCAGGGGATTTCCTCTGAGGACTTCCAGCACCTATTTCCCAGTGAACCTAGGGTGTACCACCCCCATCCTATCCCTGTGCTCTAGGGAGGCTCCAACACCCGAGGAGATGATGCTACTGTCTACCAAGGATCCTGGGCAGTGAAGGCTCTATGGTATTTTCTCTATGGTAGAAGGGTACCCCTGGTCTCTGGGCATTGCTCTAGCAGCCTGAACCCCTTTTTAGGATACCCCTACAAATTACAACAGGCAGCTTAGGCCTGCTCTCTCAGTCCTCACTGCCCCCCTGGTCTGAGGCATGGCCATGCTCTGGGACTTATGCAGTGTCAAACCTACAAGAGTGCTGTAGACTTCTGTTTTCCTTCAGAAACCTACAATCCACAGGCTCCCACATTGGCAACTCCAACTCTCTCTTGCTGGTTACCAGCTGCAAAGTCCAGCTGTGCATGGAGTCAAAGGTTTTGTTGGTGGCTCTGGCAGACAGACTCCAGAGGAACACACGCAGTCCATGGAGATTTATGTACATTGGGCAAAGGGGGGTGTCTGTATCCATCTAGGCACATACAGGGCCTTCAGGGAGGCACACAGCATGGGGACAGGCCTTGCACCTATCCCCGGAGGCAGCAGCGCTCGTGCCCTGGAATTCCGTTAATTGCACTTAGATTCCTGCCATCTAGATCCATCTTTGTCCTTGACTCTTGAAGATGACACAGTGGGGACACTGGGGAGGCTCCCCATTGCCCTCCCCATTGCAGAGTTCCACGGCAGAGGCTGGCCAGGTCCCCCGGCCTCCCCTTCCAGTGACTGTCAAATGCGCGAAAGTTCTGTGTTCAGGCTCCAGATTTTGAATAGCTTGTTGCACTGTTCGATTTTGGTTTGAGTGAGGATGGGGCACCACGGGGACTCAGGTGATTCCGAAAGCTCTTGGTCTAGCCTGTAAGATTAAGAAATAATTTGAAGTGAAACAAAAATCAAAGGTTAAGAAGAGTGTAGGAGGCCCTAGCATATCTTCAAGCCCTGATCTCTCTTGATAGTGGTCCAGAGGACCTTCTCTACAACCCAGACAGAAGGAGCATAGTGTGAGCTGTCTCCTACGCCTTAGGCCAGACCTTTATTCTTTCTACATATAATGACCAGCCACTGTGTGCCTGGCTATGTCCCGGGCACTTGGGGATAGAAAATACCCAACATAATGTCTTGTGAGCTAGTGAAAGTCAGGACTATACCTAAGGACATTTGGTAGACCACCTAGGGATCTAGGGGCCCCCAGGGGTACCCTGGAGGCCAAGGACCCTCAGCCTAGCTTGTTTTCAGGGTCAAGACTCCAAAATTCAGAGGTCCTAGCAGATGCCAGCCCAAAGGATGAACACCCAGTGCCTGGAGAATGTGGAAAGGCTGAGGTCCCAAAGCAGGAACCAGGGCTGAGAGCTAGGTGCTTGAGTACAAGGGGACAACAGCCAGGGCAGGGCAAATTCTAGGATGCCTTCATTCATTGGGCCTCTGAATATAACCGAGCCTCATAGCTGGGCATCAGGTTAAAACACAGAGGCGAAGAGCAGAACACTGGGCACTGTGTGGTCACATCAGGATCTGGCCTCAAGAGCCACTGGCCTGTCCACCTGCTGCTCTTGACCCTGCAAGGCCACTTGCTTTGGATGTGACCAGCAAAAGAGCGGGAGCTAAGCCAGGCTGGAGAAAGCTTTGGGAATGGGACATAACCTCCTCTGTGGATGAGCTGCCATGGGGCCTGTCTGTCTCAATAAGCCCTGTCATCCATCTGTCTCTACAGCAGGACCCCAGGGACGCAGGCACCTCATCTCCTAGGGAGCAGCACAGCCAGAGAGGAGTCAGCCTCCACTCTCAGGTTCGCATCAGCCAATGGAAAGTAAAGGATACACACCCGAGTTCTCGGCGCATGGAAGTCGTCAAGGCCACAGAATGAATGCTAGTGAGAAAAACAAAAAAAGGAACAAAAACTATAACATAAGACCAAAAGAAAATGAAGAAAAGAGAAGAAAAAAAAAAAAAAAAAAAAAAAAAGATGTGAGAGATGCGGTATGGAATTCAGTGACAGTATCTTATAAGAACTATGACACTAGGGGGCAGCAGAGAAAAGGTCAGAGGGAAGTGGTCCCTCTGGCCTTAAGTGCTTGGTGAGTCACTCCTACTTTATTCATCAGGAGTCCTACCAACCCAGGCTGCCAGGTGAGATCTGTGCCATGTGCAGACACTTTGGGGGATAAAGGTAAGGCTTCTAGGGCCGGCCCAAAGTCATGTGTATGATTCACCAGTCTACGTCACGGTGGGCAGCAACAAGAGAGGTAGACAGGCCAACCTGCAGACAAGTGACCCTTCCCTATGCTGTCCATTCCAAGAGTTTTGTCAATATGTAAAACGTTGTGTGCCTTTTACCAATCAACTTCAGAAAAAAAAAAAAAAAACTCTGCTGCAAAATAACCTTACAAAACCAGAAAAGCCATATCAGTTAGTTCAAAAGAGTTTTTGTTTTGTTTTGTTTTTTCTTAATCTACTCGTGACTTGACCTATTCAAACAGAAATACCAGTATTCAGAGGAAACATATCTGTCTGTCATCTTGGAACATTAAAATATAATCCTCACCAAACAAGGCTGCAGTTCCTTATGCTGTTTGTAGAGAAAAGCAGAAATCCAACTAACGGCCACTGATTTCTTCTGTCAAATCTGTAGCATCAAGAGTTATAAGGGAGCCTCTGTAATCTCGGAGCCCTGCATGTCCTCTACATGGGGAAACTGAGGCTCAGGAGGAGGAGGGCTTGGTGAGACTACCCAATGGATTATGAGTAAGAGTCTAGTCATGGAAGGAGAGATCATCTGCAAGCCATGGTGATGGGACCAAAGTTTCCCATGACCACTGGTGGGGGATGACTGGGAGTACCTACAGATGAGAGTTAGGCCTGGTAGGCAGCCCAGGTCATATGGCCAACCAGTAATCCACCAGCTGGGTCAGTCTGTCCTTCTGCATATTTGACTGTGCCATACCTTCCTGGGAATGTGGAGTTGGAACAGTCACAAATCAGCTCTGAGAAAGTCCGACAGACCAGAAAAACAATCCAAGCGACAACCCGGCTTCCCCATGGAGAGGTATAGTCAGTGCACCTGACCAGCCCGAGTTTGGACAATACTGTATGTGTATATGTATGTGTGTTTTGTGGATATGTGGGCTCATGTGTGTGCAGGTATGAATGCATGTATGTAGGGCAGAGGACAACCCCAAGTTTCATTCATTAGGCATGGTCCTCTTTGACCTTTTGAGCTAGGGTATCTCACTGGCCTGGAACTCAGCACTTTGGCCGAACATCTGACCACTGAATCCCAGGACTGCCTGTCTCCACCTCCACAGCCCTGGGTTTATAACTACCGCCACACCCAGCTGTTTTCTTGTTTGTTTGTTTTTTGTTTTTGTTTTTTATGTGAGTTATGGCGATCAAACACAGTTCTTCATATTTGCAAAGCAAGAACTTTACCATCTGAGCCATCTCCCAACTCCTCAGTTTTAACATTTTAAATAACAATAGCCCCTATGGCTGTTTTGTATCAGTTGTTGTCCTATCTGGCTGTGAGCCTCAAGGTGCCTGTGGATGGAAAGGCAGGCAGAGTTCACTGCCCCCACCTCTAATGGATTCCTTTCTACCAGGCAGGGAGGTAAAGGGCCTCAATCTCAGAGCAGTAAGAAGCCCCCTACTTGCAGCCCCAGAATCTCAGGTTGTCCTCAGCCCAGTCATGGAGACAAAGTGTCTCAGTTGGTTCAACCTGACATCCCCCTTAGGATTTCCCAACAGCCCTGGGGGTTTGAGGAGGGCTGGGTACCTTCCAGATGGGAACTCTAGGAAATAGGGCAGACAT